ATATAACAAGAATGTTGACGACACTGACAAGGTTGTAACAATATTGTTATATCATGACTGTTCCGGACTTGTTGGAACAACCTTGCAACAAGTCTGATAACATCAACAAGGTTGTTCCAAGTTGTTAACAGCTTGTTCCAAACTTGTTGATAACTTGGGACAAGCAGTGCGAACACAACTTGTTGACGGCTTGTTGGCAGACTTGCTACAAGATGTGAGATTTTGCTTGTGTATTTTCGGTAGATTTTTAGCACATAATATGGATGCCCAAATCTCGAGTCTTTTTGCATTGGCGTTTCCATTTCATTCCCCGCGATTGTCTATATCCGAATACAAAAATGTCTTAAGAAATTTTCATGCCGTACGTGTAGCCATTCCAATTTGTCCGACTCTGATATAAATAAGTCATGCTCTTTTTTATTTAGACATTCCACGATATATTTGGTAACAATGAGATCACGCTGGAAAAGGCATCCAGTCGAGCAGAAATCGTGATGTCGAAACTGAAGCAGATTAAAGATGCACAGCTATTTTGCGACGACTAAATCACGACCGCCATGTTGTCAAACAAATGAAAATGAACATTCAAATTTACGTTCCTTGGAACAAAAGCAACTAGCATGGCAGCAAATGACTAAATATTTTACAAAGACTACAAACAAACGTACAGAAATCTTCGCCAGAGGAACAATTTCACGAAATTACGGTCGTATTATCGACATATTTGTTTTATATTTGGACCACTTATAAATGAAGATATCTTGAAGTTTGAGAAGTCCGCCATCTTGGATAAATTTTTGATCTCATTAACCCATTGAACTAAAAATAACATTTATTTTTATACATTCATTTATTTATTTGTTATTTTTAGTTCAATGCATTAACCGTAGTTTTGGCGACTTCACAACAGGGATTAACCATTAAGTAATCGTTGTCAACCAAACATTGATTGGTAGATGTTTTAAAGGTTCTGAGTGATCTTGATATTTCCAAGGGCAGACAGAGTATAGTTTTGAGTGCAAAATGATTGGTGATTGGCTAGATAAAAATATTGCGTGATTCCTGTTGTGACGTAACATGCATATCTACAAAAATTAAAGATGGCAGACATTTCATTCCTTTCGATCAAAATATTTGTAGAAGGAAGCAAGTTATGAAAAAAACGGTAAAAGAGTATTATATATAGTCTTATAAAAATATATTGCCATTTCTCTTTAAATTAGATGTGATTATGAGACAAGATGGCGAATCACACCAAATATCTCGATAATTAAAGATAGTTTGGGAGGTTTCTGAAAAGAATTTGTAAATAACATTAACTTTTCAAACATAAATATAACGCAAGAACAACACATGACACATTACAATAAAACATTATTCTGTTTAAAGACTGTTTAAAAAAATTTCATTCGTTTCACAACATCACTTTCAGTAAAAATTTAAAACTATTCTTATCATTTTACAGTCAATTCAAAACCGCAATTATATACGCAGACTTTCCACTCTTCAGTGTAGATAAAATTCAAAGACTTTTCCAGGACTTCTTAAGTGGAAGAGGCTTTGAAAATGGCAAGGATTTTGCTTTTCAAAACACCATAATTTGTTCAAAATCATTAGCATAAAAAATCTTCAAATATTAGTGAGTTTACGCATCTAAGACGGTAACGTCAGGACGACGGCTATTAATACAACGACATTAATCCTATAGTACAAACGAAATTAATAATTAAAAGTCTAGCAGGGGTTTTAGACGTTGTCCAAGCTTTGTTGACAACGACAAAATGCATATTTTCACGTCTCGCACAGTACGCTAGCATTTCAAGTCTAACAGGTAGTTTTATTAGCAGAGTTGATCAAAATTGAAGATTAAAGCTCTGTTTTACTCGTTCGAAACTGTATTAAATTCATACGAAAGTAAATACAAGTCAAGATTTACATTCGTTCCAAACAGTTTGTTCAGCAGTCGTCCTGAAATCGCCATCTTCCATGCGTAAATCTCTTATTATCAGCACAATTGGAAAAAAAATTCCCCGACTTTCAAGGGCCTGGCCTAATTTTCAAGACCTTTCTAGGCCGGGATTTCATACCATCATATCTTAATAAACTATGATTAACGCTATATCTTTACAGACTATGAGAGCTTTAAGCATTTTGATCCCAGCTGCACAAAGTTTTTCGTCATAAAAAAGTATAAAACATCGTAATTTTTTCTCATCAATAAAGGAACACTTGCCAATTTTTGTACGTCTGCGCATTGAGTTTGCGGTCATTGGTAACTGTTCAAAGAAGACCGATGACAGTTTCGTTTATGAATACTAACTCTATTCCTCCCCCTAACAAAACTGCGAGACATGATGCTCTATCCCATCTTCATTCAGAACGAATATTTTGGCAAAATTCGTCGTGAACTTCGTTCTGAACGAAGGCAGATGAAGGTAATTCAATGTTATGAGTGAGGGTAATTCAACTATCAGAGTAATTTTGATCTGATGTAATAAATTTACTAATATATTTATTTCTGTCAAAATTTTGCAAACAGGTGCAAATCATGGTAAGCGAGATTCACAGTACAAATTAAACATTTGATTAGAACATGATAAAATTGGTGGCCGTAAATTGGTGTGTGACTCATGTTACGACAAAGTGACATGAAGTAACACCAACCTAACTACTTTTGAATTTCTTCGGGAACCATAGGAAGGAGAAACAAACCAATGTCTATCGAGCAACAGAATATATGTTGGGCAAACTACCAACACAAAGAAGTTTTATATTTTAGATTACAATAGTAAGGATTGCTACATAATACATGTGACTCATGTTACGTGCCTGGCATGTTACATATAAAGTACATCTTAATATTTCAGTTCAGAATTGTTTCCAATAGCTTCTGAAAATTCTTGACAACTTATTTTTTTCAAAAAATGTCAGCACTACCATGGAATTACCCAAGAACGAAGATGTGGTATAGCTCACGTCTCGCTATTTTGTCAGGACAAGGGTTAGAATCAGCATTCATAAACAGCGACACAATATGAATCTATAACGTTGAGCAACCACAAGTGACCCTAAACTCATTATTCGCAAGATAATGTGCAGACCTTCAAAAATTGTCAAAAACGCCTTCGTCTTCGCATTTCGTCCTCTTATTCAAACTGACTATTTGCTAACAAGCGAGTGTCTTGTTATTTTCGTCACCGTCCAAACAAACCAAAACTCGAATTCAAACATACAACCTAACTTAGTAACCATACGTTAAAACTGGCCTGTGAAAACTTTTCATAGAAAACTAGCTCGTCTGTAATCGGTTTAAGGGATCAACTTGGGTTAGTTTCAGTGGCGAACACTGCGCCAGGGGATTTAAGTTGTCAAACATATGACATCCTTTGTCGCTGCAAATCTTCGTTCCTTAAACTTGTTTGCCTTAAAGGAAATAGCAACAAAAAATAAGTTTCTCCCATTTGGAAGAGAGACTCAATAATAATATATTTCAAAATCTTTGTTATAAATTTTCTTCATTGTTCTTTGTATAAAATATATTCAACTTCATCTCAAACGAAATCGTTATGCATTCCGCCATCTTGGATCATGCATAAAATCTTCAGATACGCGTGATGTCACAACCAGGGTAACTATGCCTATGGTTCGTAGTCTCGCAGACAAAAGACTTTTCAAAGACCATTTTGAAAGCAATCAGCTGTTAAAAGCAAAGTTTTATATACAGCGAAATTGAGAACAGATTTAATTATCGAGGACTTTTTCTAACAGTTCATTATCTAACATTTTACTCGGAAAAATTGCGATTGTAAATCTCTTGGTCTTGGAGTAATATTTGTGAAGATCAGCTACATTACAATCGTATAAATCAAATACTCACTAAAGAATTTAAAGACTTTTAAAGACTTTCTTTCTTAAATTGTTCACACAATTCAAAGACTCTTCAAAGACTTTAAAGACCCGCATTCAAATTTAAAGACTTTCAAGATATTTTGTCTTAAGCAATTCTCGGGTCATTTTAAAATGCTAAATCGTATTCTTTTCTATATTGTCTGTTCTAAATTAAAGCACAAGCTATGTATAAGCTTCGCACCGATATATTTTTAGTTTTAAAACGCCATTTAATTAGATCTAATTATAAACAAAATTTTTGTTGCCATTCCCTTTAAATCGTTATGCAATAAATAGCTTGTTTTTTGGACCACCAACGATTTCAAGATTGAAAAATTACTTCTATAGGTTGAAGAGTTACTTCGTTACATCGTCATTCTGTTATCATTCACAAAAGTTCCGAAATTATTTGTCACCGCCAAAGGTTAATCCAACTTTGACATGCTAACTAAATAAAGAACAGGCTTTGCTTTTAGCTCTTGAATGACACCTTTAGCTTTATGGAATAATTGCGATAAAAAATGACCAAATCCAATCTAAAGTGATCGGTTGAATTCGCATTTCTTCACCTTTGCCCTTTGGGATTTAAAGTGCCTATGTCATGATTTGGGATTTTAAATATTTTTTTTATCTTTGGTGCATTTTATGAACAAATGCAATATATCTTTATAAGAAAATATACCATCTTCATAGGATTATCAGCCCTCAAAGTTACCAGATATCAAATCGGCAATTTTATACGCTAGAAACAAAAGAAATCTAATTTGCAATTCCCGGTTTGATGTTATATCCGGTAACTTTGAGGCCTGATAATCCTGTGAAGATGGAATATTTTCTTTTACAGGTATATTGCATTTCTTCATAAAATATACCAATGATTACAAATAATAAATTACACAAATCATGACATAGCGGCATTTTTAAATCGGGTCGTATTTGGCTAATTTTGATCGCACTGATACAAGAAAGGTATCATTCGACAGCTAAAAGTCTGATCTTTATTGACATGAAAAAAGTAAATGGTTAAACGTAATATATAATGCACGATAAGATGCCAAAGTTGGATTATCTTTTTTTATACACCCTGTATTATAAAACAACAAAAGGCTGACATTACACACTTCAGTTACACTACACAACTTTTCCTAAAGCCCGCCTTGCGAGGCGGTTAGCTCAGCAAGTTGCTCTCGTGTGCGGATAGTTTTCGTGAGGATTTGACCTCTCGAGGCCTTGAGGAAAATATCTATCGTGCTTGATATTTTTCGCCTCGCGAGGAAAAAATCTCAGCGTCTGCGGCTGTTGTGAGCTAAGTGCTGCAGAGCTTTTGAATCAATTAGCCAATGACAAACCATGGTTTCTTCATGTGACTTGGAACAAAATGGAGGAAAATGCAAATGATTTTGTCAATTATGTTGTTGTTGAGTAGTTTTCCCAACGGTGAAAATACATAGCTGAGCTAGCTGCCTCGCGAGGCGGTTAGCTCAGCAAGTTGCTCTCGTGTGCGGCGGGCTTAAAACTGTCGCATGCAACATGCTTACAACTTAAGTTGTACTGTCCAAATCAAGCACACAACTCATCTACGACGACGTAAGCGAATTGTGTGCTTGATTTACACAGTACAACTCAAGTTGTAAGCAGGTTGCATGCGACAGTTCTTAGGCGAAAGTTGTGTGTAAATCGACCCTAAATCCTCAAACCGGCAAGACACCATTACACTAAGTCGCTGGCATCTAAAAATGCGTACCTTTGTTATTCTCCTGCCATTCTGATTCCGACTCAGAATCGGACAGATCTTCAATGTCATTTCTACCTAAAGCCGAATCGATGCTCGCATTAGATGCAGAATGTTTCATATTATTTACATCTTTATGTCTGGACGGAGATCTCGACCTGTTTTTTCTTCTTTGAAAGGTCTCGGTGGGAGTACCAGGGGCAGGGAGACGGAGATGTGCGTCATTATTATCTTTCCATGTACCCCCTTCACACTCTATATCCACATAATCGTCGCTGCCATCCATGTGGTTCCGCTTCAATTCCGGGACGGTGAACACGACTTGTAGCTGCAGGAAAATACGAAATTAGGGGCAGAGCATTTTGCTATGTCGGGTACACACGCAAAATACCAAGGGTGCGTATAGAAGCGAAGTAGTTGTAGTTCGCTACTGTAGCGAACTACAATTTTCAAGTAGCCAGTAGATTTTGACTACTTTTTTAAAACAGCAGCTGCAGTTATAGCGACCTACATTTTGCCTAAAAGTAGTCAAGTAGTTGACTACTTTTCAAACAGCAAATCGCTATTCGCTACTTTTTAAAATTATTAGCAACTTGATAGAATAGCATGATATTGAGACACGGTTTGCTTAAAATCAACACTCAATACTCAATTTGCACTCCTGAACACTGTAGTGCTTACAAAAATGTTGCTTTGTGTTTACTGTTGCTACTCGTAAGTCGATTTGTTATAGGTTACATTTCAGCCTGAGTTAGTAGATGCTCCAAGTACAGTAAAACTAAAAAAATATAACTTAGCGAAATAGTTCGCTACATTTTTTAAGCAGTAGCTGTAGTCAGTAGCGAACAACAAAAATAATTTTGTAGTCAATCCACCCTTAAAAAACTCATTAATAATTCATGAAGAAAACACAAAGAAAAATCATAAGCGTGTCGTATCTGTATATGTGATACAGATTCATGTTGATTTACATAAACTTTAACTTTGATTTTCTCGGCTTAGACAACGTTTATTTTTAAAATTTGATAAGAGATAGATCTCGCCTTCGGCTCGAGTTTGTATATCTGATACAACACGGCCGCTCATGTTGTAAACATTACTTGTAAAATACACACAAGTTGTTACAGGTCTGCAAATAAGTTGTTACAAATCTGCTCGCAAGCTGTCGACAAGTTGTGTTCGCACTGCTTGTTCCCAGTTGTTGTATAACAAGTTTGGAACGAGCCGTTAACAACTTGTAACAGGCTTGATGGCATTATCAGACTTGTTACAAGGTTGTTCTAACAATGTTGCAAGGTTGACGACACTATTGTTATATCATGACTGTATCAGACTTGCTGGGGACAACCTTTTAACAAGTGTGATGATATCAACAAGGTTGTTATACCAGCGTTAGAAGTCTCCACATGGCCAGAAATCGAGGACAGCCAGCGGGTTGACCTGTGGGCTCAAAATCTCAAAAATTCAAAATGGCGGTTCGATTCTACATGTATAAGAAAGTGATTGCAGAATGCCCGTCTACTTCTAAATACCTCATTTATTATCATGACAGGCAATAACGCAAAAATATAGCTTACAACCGCTTTTATAATAGCGGGAGTATACAATTATTCGCTAATCATTTTCACTTCGTATCATCTCATCATGATAATAATAAACTGAGGTCTTCGAAAGTGGACGGGTATTCTGCAATCGCTCCTATACAAAACACTATATAGCTATAATCAAACAAAAATAAACATAAATACTAATACTGGGAACAGTAATCCCTTTATTATTGAAACCTTAGAAGGAATCTTCGCCAACACAAGCCAAATAATATTAAATTTGCCGAGCCAAATTGCGCTTGTTTTTATGAATATACGAGCCAATTTAAAAATAATACAGCGGTGCTAGCGCGCGTTATGAGTTTGGGCTCGGTGCATTGTCCTCCCATGCAGCTAGTCAAAGCCGTCCATCGACTATTAGTGGAGTCCCTGAGGTTAGGGAGGGTGGCATCATAACTGCGATGAATGTGGGATGGGTGTCACCTATGGGCGCAACATTTAAAAAAGTAAAAAAAAAGGTATAGACCATGGTAACCTAGTAACAACTCAAAACAACTCAGGAATGTAAAATGGCAGCACGAAGCGAAGTGGAGAGCAATATTTTGCTTGTTTATGCTAGTTTAGCGACTATTTCTCAGCGCTTGGCGTATTAAATTTCGACGAATCTGCGGCATGAAAATGCTATGTTTCAAGGCGTTCGGGAACAGGTTTAAAGAAGCCGTTGAGCCTTTAAATGCTGCTAAAAACAAAGTATTGTCCACCTCGAATATGCGTAGACGTGGGACCGTGCGAAAAGTCGACCATATGTGGCCTCACTTCCGCAAATCATGCCGATTTAGTAGGTGTTTATATACAAAGTGAGAAGGAGAAATATAAATCTCTCGGGAACATATTTACGCTACTCGGACTGTCGCCAGATTTTCGGGAGTTGATACTGGCCTTATTTGATAAATTTTTAGACGTGGGACCGTGTAATTTCTTTACGGGATCGAACACAAAATGCGTATGTTGAATTTTCTCTTATCAAATCTATATAACGCCGCCATTTTGAATTTATTTGGTGAAAGCTTAACGCGCATGCTTGTCAGCCATGTTGTACTTCATTTCTGGCCATGAGACCAAAAAAAATCAAAGACTTTCAAAGATTTTTTCTGTCTATTTTCAAAGACTTTTCAAAGAGCTTTAAGAGCAATTAGCTGACGAAAAATTGCGAGTGTGAGCACCATTTTTACCCGGGAAAATTGTCCAGTCAAATCGCATCTTAAAATGCGCCTTTTCGTCGATATTTGCGAAAATCTTGCTTCAATCAATCTATTTTATTAGCTAGGAAATCGTATAATCCAATACTCACTGAAGAATTTAAAGACTTTTAAAGTGACTTTCTTCGCTTTTTCAAACAATTCAAAGACTTTTCAAAGACCTGCATTCAAATTTAAAGACTTTCAAGGATTTCAAAGACCGCTACGAACCCTGTATACGTTGTTAACAGCTTGTTCCAAACTTGTTGACAACTTGGGACAAGCAGTGCGAACACAACTTGTTGACGGTTTATTGGCAGACTTGCTACAATGAAGATGTGAGATTTTTACGTATATGTTGTTGAAAAATATCCAGCTAAGTGCCGGTTGTGTAAGGTTCGGGTGCAACTATTTCAAGGGTTACATAATTACTTTCATTGGTTATAAAGTGACGGTGTTTATAATATATTGACTTGAAATGATAGGAAAGAACTTCAGTCCAATATCAATAAACATGCATGGTTGGAAAAGTCTTTATCAAAATGTTCAAATATAGTAAGAGTTATCTAACTCATCTTTGATTGATCCAGTGTTACTACAGGAGGAAACCTAAACTAACTTTACTTATAATGGATAGCTCTATCAGTTCTAAACTGTTCTTCCTAGAGCTCCAGTAAGGATCATCTATCAATAAACATGCATGGTTGGAAAAGTCTTTATCAAAATGTTCAAATATAGTAAGAGTTATCTAACTCATCTTTGATTGATCCAGTGTTACTACAGGAGGAAACCTAAACTAACTTTACTTATAATGGATAGCTCTATCAGTTCTAAACTGTTCTTCCTAGAGCTCCAGTAAGGATCATCTCTTATTGATCGAGTATTACTACAAAAGGAAACCGAAATTAAACTTTATTTGTACTGGATAGCTCTATCAGTTGTAAACTGTTCTCCCTAAAGGTCGAGTAAGAGTCTTCTCTTGATTCAGTGTTACTACAAGAGAGAACCTAAATTAAACTTTATTTACACTGGATAGTTCTATCAGTTTTAAACTGTTCTCCCTAGAGGTCCAGTAAGAGTCATCTTTTATTGATCAAGTGCTACTACAGGAGGAAACCTAAACTAACTTTATTTATACTTGATAGCTCTACCAGTTCTAAACATATATATCTTATATACACTAGATAGTGCATCTAATTATTCTGCAATTCAAAAATTGAAGCCGTGATTGCAGACTCAGGATATTCCCATGAAATGAGAAGACTCGTATGTTTTCTCTTTTTTAAACAGGGAACTTAAACATTAAGTTAAACCTATTCCAAATACATTTTCAAATTGTTCAAATGATGAAAGTTATTGTTGTTTTTTAAGCGTTTATTAGCGAGTGGGAAACTCCAACATGGCCGCCATCTATTCAAATGGGGGTAACCGCTGGAATATTCTTGGTTTCAATTTTACTTAAAGAGATGCGCTATCTAGTGTATATAAGATATCTATGGTTCTAAACTGTTCTTCCTAGAGGGTCCAGTAAGAATCATCTCTTATTGATCCAGTGTTACTATAAACTTTATTTATGTTGGATAGTTTATCAGTTCTAAACTGTTCTCCCTAGAGGTCCAGTAAGAATCATCTCTTATTGATCTATCTCTTATTGTTACTATAGGAAAAAGCCTAAACTAAACTGACTTTATTTATACTGGATAGTTTATCAGTTCTAAACTGTTCTCCCTAATGGTCCAACTCTTAAGGCTTTCTGACATGACCGCGAATTCTGCGCAATGAAAGAATTGTATTCCATTTTATTTGTTTAATTTAATAAGCTACATACATTAAAAATAGATATATAAATAAACAGTTACAAGTTTGAGTAGAAAAAATAATTCTATATAGTAAGAAATATATATGATACAAATATTCATCCCCAAACCCTGTTGAAGCCGTATTTCAACATGATATACAAATTACGAAGTAGAATAAATCACGTCCACGATTTCTGGCCATGAATTGAAGAAACAATTGTTTTTGTCTGGAAATAAACGCTTTCGCGGAAAGTAAATCATCTTGGCTAAATATGTAGAGCCTCGTTTCTATAGTATGGGTAAAATTCTAAGATTTCTGTTACTGTACTATGGGTAAAATTCTAAGATTTGAAGGATTTGAAGGAACTGACTCAGTCCCTCAAACATTTCTTTGTAAAATTGCTGCTGTAGTGATCACAGAAACATTGTTAGTGTAAAACCAGCCTATTTAGGGACCGCGGTCATTATTTATGGCCGGGGGGGGGCTGATGAGAAAATGGGTGGGTAAACAGGTGGAAATGGGTGGGTTGAATAAAAATTCACTAAGCCAAGGGGTGCAGTGCCGTCGCGAGGGACTCGCATCAGGGGGTGTTTGGTTAAATCTACCTGAAAGTCTTAAAATTTCGAATTTTACATTTTTTTGAAAAAAAAATCCCCCCCCCCGTCGCCAAAAAAGTTCGGTCCATTTTAGGGGTAAAAAAAATTTTCCGGACATACCAAATTTTTTTGCGACATAAAAAAATTTTTCCGGTCATCGCAAATTTTCTTCGTTTATCAAATAAATTTTTCTAAAATTCCGAAAATTTCCAGAATTTTCTAAAATTTTTGTAAATATACCTCATTTTTTTCTCAAATTGACAGTTATTTTTGGTAAATTAACTTTCCCTTGTCCTAGGAAATACCTGATTTTGTGTTACTTTACCCCCCCCCCCCACCCACACCCCGGTCGCTACGGCCCTGAAGGGGTGGGTAAAGTAAAAATCATTAAAGCAGAAAAGTCCTGATTATATTAGTTGAGAACTATTGAACCTGAACATTAACTAATATAAATTTGTATGTTCGCATTGGGTAAGAGAAATAATCCTTTATAACTGTCTATGAACTATATTTTTTTTATACCATTTTAAAACTTGTATATATTGTTGGTTGTCAATTGTCACTGTTGACGTAACTCATCACGAACCATCTAATTCAAGGTATTATTTGTTTTATTAAGATCGAATAAATATCATTTACTTATATCGATTTGCAAAGTGAAAATTCCATTTGAACCTGCCATAACAATCATGATAAAATGACAGAGTTCATACTTGTTGGCTTTTTTGTTCTCTCAAAAACTAAAGTAAGTCAATTTAGCTTTTAATAAAGTAAATTGACAAAATTAAGTTAGGGTGGGTCTAAGATTTTTGAATGAGTGCTGGGATTGGGTGGAGAAGAAAAATTTTTTTTGAAGGTTGGGTCACTAAAAAATTTGGCCAAGAAAATGTTTCGGGCCCCCCCCCCCCCCGATAAATAATGACCGGTCCCTTAGTACCGGCTAATCAATGTGAACGTGCATGGTTGTATCACATAAAATGGCCTTTGGGAAATGGTAAAAATATTCTAATAGAACATTACTACGCTTGGGAGTAGATTTAAAATTTGATACGAGCACTCTGGTAATCCCAAAAATGGAAAGTGCAGGTCAAAGTCAGTTGGCATAAAAAAATTGGTGCTATTTTACAAAACAATATGAACTGAACTTCAAAATTTTTATTACAAAAAAATGGGGATTTCCATGGGAACATATACGACTTAACGGGCAGTTGTTACAAGTTGCTAAAACTGTAACAAGTTGTTACAGGTCTGCAAACAAGTTGTTACAAATCTGTGCACAAGCTGTCGACAAGTTGTGTTCGCACTGCTTGTTCCCAGTTGTTGTAACAAGTTTGGAACAAGCTGTTAACAATTTGTAACAAGGTTGATGGCATTAACAGACTTGTTACAAGGCTCTTCTAACAAGTCCGATACAGTCATGATATAACAAGAATGTTACAATGTTGACCACAGAGGGTTGTTGTTATATTACTATATCATGACTGTACCAGACTTGTTGGAACATCCTTGCAACAAATCGCATGATAATATCAACAAGGTTGTTACATTAAGTTGTTCCAAACTTGTTGACAACTTGGGACAAGCAGTGCGAACCACAACTTGTCGACGGCTTGTTGGCAGACTTGCTACAAGATGTGAGACTTTTGCGTGTATAGTTTATAGAATGATAGCATCAAATTTTAAATCGACTCAAAAAGCGTTATCAAGGTATATACTGCTGTATAAAATTGCCTAAATCTACCGTAGAAAATGCAAATTTACGTCGAGGAACTAACACGAGAAACTCGTATATATAACGGTTTTCAATGGACAATTCCCATTATAGACAAATTTTAAAACTAGGCAAGGAGATGCAAATAAATCACCACAGCTAGAAAGAGCATACTAAAATTAGTAAAATTGCAAAGTTTGGTTGCGAAATGTTGTAAAATGCGGAAAATATAGCCTTGCAAAGTTCGCAAATTTTGTATACTTTTGTATTGCGTCCGGAATTCCTACCACATTCCTACCACATTTGGGCCGAAAATGGTAGCAATTTCCGCACGCAATACAGAAGTAGTATACAAAATTTGCGAACTTTGCAAGGCTATATTTTCCGCATTTTACAACATTTCGCAACCAAATTTTGTAATTTTACTCATTTTAGTATGCTCTTTCTAGCTGTGGTGATTTATTTGCATCTCCTTGCCTAGTTTTAAAATTAGTCTATATAATGGGAATTGTCTATTGTCAACAATGGCTTCGCAATCCAGTCTACTGAATCAGATCAGGTGAAGGGGTTACATAATTATATCCGTTTCGTCCTACGCTTGTATAAATACGTAGAACATGCTAAATATACGTTTCCTTCAAATAATTTTTACTGGGCGGCACCTTGCTCCACGTTTCCTCATTTTCAGAATCGGTATCTGACAGGCTCTCATTCGCACTCTCGCCCACTTCGTTATTATTGGACAGCGGTATTTCGTCTAAATGTACGGCACAATCGTACGAGTGGCGTTTCAGACTACCGGTCTTCGAGGCGCCGTCGCTATAGCTCACTAGATCTTCGCTCTGAACTCGTTTCCTCGACGATACTTTGCCAGAAGCCGGGTTAAAAAAGCACACTTTCACCTGGGGGATAGAGAGAGACACATATGGATTGTTTTGGCGTGTTTGTATTTTTCTGAAAGCGATTTATTCCGGCACAATACATACAGGCTGTCTAAAAAAAGTGACCCTTTAGAAATCACCGTTTTGTTGTAAACACCCAAACTTAATTACCTCTGGGAGTTTAGAATGCACTTGTAATCGTACGGGCATGTTAAAACTGCATAAATTGCACATGAAAATTCTAATTGAAAGTTAAAACACAACTTAGGCAAAAATTTCATCACAGCTTGAAAGAGCATCACAAAATTAGTAATATTCCAAAGTTTCGTTGCGAAATGTTGTAAAATGCGGATAATATAGCCTTGCCAAATTTGCCGTTTTTCAGTCATCTTGCATTACAAACGGGAAATTGGTAATCAGATGATCAAACTGATTATCAATTTCCCATTTGTAATACCAAATGACTGAAAAACGGCAAACTTCGCAAGGCTATATTATCCGCATTTTACAACATTTCGCAACGAAACTTCGGAATATTACTAATTTTGTGATGCTCTTTCAAGCTGAGATGAAATTTTTGTTCAGGCATATCTATCAAAATTTCACTCATAAGGGGAAAGGTCTATTGTGTTGACGCACTATGGGTTCAGTATAGAACTCGGGCATTCAAATTATAAAAATTTCTAAAGGGTCACCTTTTTTTGGACATGCAAATAAATACGGGAATAATTTCAAAACGGATAAAACCGAAACTTTTACTGTCGTTCCAATTGAAGTGTTGCTCAAATATTGATTCAATACATTACCTCGGGCTGACCAATTCATTTGATCAAGTTCCTCGAGATATTCATACACTTCCTGTGAAAGACCCAATTCCAAGTATTTGATCATTTCTGGTCACTTCCTTTCTATTTATGATTGGTTAGTTGCACCAACAGCAAAGGTGATTGGTGCATTCAAACTATTCAACAGGAAGTTTACAATTAAACTAGGAAGTGTATGAATATCTCGAAGAACTTGATGAAATGAATTGGTCAGCCCGAGGTAATGTATTGAATCAATATTTGAGCAACACTTCAATTGGAACGACAGTAAGACTAGGTAAAAAAGGCAGTTATAAACGACATATTTTCAGAAAGCTCTCGACGTTTACAAGTGACTATGATTATTAGACGTCAAAATGGACGGGTATTCTATAATTTAAGCATGAATTTGGTCGTTGGTAAGTAAATTAACTTCTTACTTCATTATGCTAAGTAAAAATACGAATTTAGGGACCGGTCATTGTTTATGGCTGGGGGTGGCACCGAAGAGAAAAGGGTTGGATGAACAAAACTTTGAGTGAGTAAAAGGTTGGGTAAATGAAAAACAAAACTCAAGGGTTGGGTAATAAAAATTTATTGTCATTTTCTGAAGCATGACTCACTCAAATATATTGAAGACTAAAAAGTAATGTCAAAAGTCACATGCCAATACAATGTGTAAATCAATCAGAGTCACTATCTTGATCATTTTCCGATTTGTCAGGAGGCAAATGGTGTCTCCAAAGAAAGTACATGTGCAGACAACATGAAACTTTGGACTGCAGAAAATTGCACAAGCAGTTATCAAACTCATGTCACAGAAGTGGTAAAGGACATGTGTGACAACTGAATGGTATCCTTTTGTAAAGTTTTTGGCCAGAGGTGGGTGTTTATTTTAAATTGATATTCGAGGTTGGGTAATTTTTTTTTACTTTTTAATGGTTGGGTCAGCCAAATTTTTACCAAGAAAAACATTTCTCTTCGGTGCCAAGCCCTCGCCATAAAAAATGACCAGTCCTTCACTAGAATTTTCAACTTTCCTCGAAGCGTGAGATGGTGTATGGCATGAAGAACAGACGAATATACGAGATGGGTATAAGAGCACTTGGAATCAGTACAAAAATGTTGTTTCATTAATCGAATCTGATATTCATTAGTGATGGTTAATTAGTATTAATTAATTAATGATCATTAATTTGTAGTAACTGACTGGTGAGCGCTCGACGAGCGTGATGAAATTTGGAGTTTGTGATTAATTATTATTTTGAACGTTTTGTGATGATCAATTTGTGATGATTCATGTATGATATATGATCTGTTACGAGTGATTTGCGATTCTTGATCTGTAACTGTTATTTTCAATGTTTTGTGATGAACAATTAGCGATGATTAATTTTTGAATATTCATTTGTGATATTTGGTATGTAATTATTATTTTGAACGTTTCGTGATGATTATATTCACTTGTGATATTTGTTCTGTTATTATTTTCAATGTCTTGTGATGATTAATTTGCGATTATTAATTTGTGAATATTCATTTGTGATATTTGACCGTGATAACTCTTTTGAATGTCATGTCAGGATTAATTTGCGATGATTGATTTGTGAATATTCATTTGTGATATTTGATATGTAATTATTATTTTGAAAGTTTCGTGATTATCAACTTGTGATGGTTAATTAGTGGTGATTAATTTCATGAATCGATTTCGTCAATTAAGTTGCGACAATGAATGAGCGTTGATAAATGGTGATTAATTCGACTGATTCATGATAAAGCGCGGTGATTAATTTGCCAAGACGCATTCGATAAACTTGGGATCAGTATAATTAAAACTAATTATAGAAAATTATAGTTTGTATTTGTTACTACAGGAGAAAACCTAAACTAAACGATCTTTATTTACACTGGATAGCTCTATCATTCAGTTCTAAACTGTTCTCCCTAGAGGTTAGTTTTAAAGTTAAGCTGTTTCAAAATAAATTCTGGTTCAGCCAAAGGACCATTGAAATTATGCATCAGTTATGTTCAGTAGTAATACGGTTGATGACCCCTCACTTGAAAAAGCTAAAACATTGGTATACTACTGGTCACCAGAACAATTTTAAATCTTAGTGTCCAAATTCATCTCTTTTTTATGCCCACTATATGACAATTAGCTACGTATAAGACTATAATGCATTTTTCGGGACACTATGTATAAAGAAACAAGATCATATATGTTTGGAATAACGCTAACACGACCAATGCTTATCTCTCTCTATCGACTCAGATTAAAAAGTAAACTTTTAGAACCCAGCTAGAATAAACTTGTAATGTAAAGCAACGACAGCAATTCTTTCAAGTGCATTCCATGAAAACATACCGCCATATTGTTAAAATAAACTGTTGCTCGCGAGTTCGCTGTACTTCAATTCTACACGAAGAAGTATTGAAGCAACCGCATTAAATATTTACAACTCTCGACACACTTCTGTCAAAACAAGCACTGTGATTTTGGTAAAAATCTCACTGCGTATACGTAAGCACTTCAACGGTTTCGATGTGCATATTACGAAGAAAGTGCTCTTATACCCATTCAAGCATACAACACCTATATAAAAGCTGTTCACTGGAAGCAAACGTTGTTTAAAAGAAATTGGCAATAAAAAAATAGTTTGTCTCATTCAAAAGAACTCTTAAAATTATATATTAAACTCTACTACCGATTTGTCATATACCTTGCTTAGTTCTCGAAATATTTAGACAGAAATTAATGAGCCGTGCGCCATCTTCGACTAATTCTTGACCTCATTAACTATGGTTTTGATGACGTCAGGAGTTGGGCTAACCATATAAAACTACTCTAAAAAGACCGAGTTTTACAATCCAAAGTTGTTTGAAATATTTTTAATCATTTCTAAATTTCAGACAGCAACCAGAAACGAGGTTTTGGACCCATATTGATCGCTTACTCTCACGATAAAAAATTAGCGTGACCCCTCTCTTGACGTAACATGCATATCCTCAATAATCCAAGATGGCGAACAGCTCACTTTTTTTCAGTCGAAATATTTTGAAAACTAAGCAAGATATAAACAATCTGTAATAGAGTTTAATATATAGTTTTAAGAGTTCTTTCAAATGAACTAAACTAATTCTTTCGTTGCCAATGTCCCTTAATCTGGCAACTGACAAAGTGCAATTTACATAATTTGTCAATCGGTCTGTGCGACTGTACGTGCTTTCGACGTTTCGAGCGAAGATTCCAACTCAATCAAGTATGCACTGGATATCATATCCGGTCCGATAGTGAGAGGTATCGGATATTGTCTATTTGAGGTTCAGATCTTCTTTTCAGGTTAGAAATGATGTAATACGGTTTAAAAAGTACGAGTATTTATGATATTTTTACTTGAAATGATCGTAGAAAAGCTTGCAATAATTTCAAGATTTTTCATGCTCCAAGCGAGCAAATGCGTTTGAAATTGGAATATTTTTAGCAGAGCTTTTCCAACCATGCATGTTTATCGATGTTGGACTGTAAAGTTCTTTGCTATCATTTCAAGTCAATATATTATAAACACCATCACTTTATAACCAATGAAAAAAACTATTTAACTTTGAAAGATGAGGCCTTAAAACTAATCGTATGGTTTTGTAGATGGAAAATTTTGACGAGTGTGAATTATATAGATTTGTTAGAGCTACAATTGGACCTATTCCCTAATGAACAAAAGTTTGATACGGACAAGTCTAGACAAAAATTTCATCACAGCTTGCATGAAAGAGCATCGCAACATTAGTAATATTCCGAAGTTTCGTTGCGAAATGTTGTAAAATGTGGATAATATAGCCCTGCGAAGTTTGCCGTTTTTCAGTCATCTTGTATTACGCGGGGGAAATTGATACCGCTTTCTGAAAAAAAGTATCAATTTCCCGCGCGTAATACAAAATGACTGAAAAACGGCAAAGTTCGCAGGGCTATATTATCCTCATTTTACACCATTTCGCAACGAAACTTCGGAATATTACTAATTTTACTATGCTCTTTCAAGCTGTGATGAAAGTTTTGTCTAGACTTGTCATGGTTAGAGCGCTGTACCGGAATCGCAGGGCCGTAGGTTCAATTCCTACCAGGGACCTATATAGTTCCAACTATACGATCTTCTGGCGACTAAAAATACCAATTTTGTCTGTACACAGGCTATAACAGGGTTACACTCAACTATAAATGACCAATAGACAGTTGGTTATACAATAACTTTTATAAATTGGGCAATTTTTTCGGCCAATTAAGGAATAGTCAAAGGAACCAAATTTAATTGGTAAAATTCGACTAACTAATTCAACAATTGGTCAAAATGACCATGTGCCAATGGTTGCAACCAAAACAAATGGCTGTTTTAACCAATCAGTTTTTACAGTGTATGTAGTAGCATTTTTCGCAAATGTTCCTGGTTATTTTTGTGTGTGTTGGTGTTACGTACTCAGGTGAATATGATGTTTGTGATGTTACTCTGAGTGTGCATCCACACCGGACAAGCTGAAAAGTTTGCCCGACCACGGTGGGAATCGTACCCACGACCTTTGCGATACTAGTCCAATGCTCTACCAACTGAGCTACGAAGTCAAGTCGGTTCGAGTTGGTGATATTGCGGAACTGAGTCTAGTTCCTTCGATAGCAATGTAATCTCGCAATGTATTCGGTAACAATAGGGCCATTTATACGAGCGACAATAAGTCGCGGCCTAAATAAGCCGCGGCTTAAATAAGTCGCGAACGACTCGTATAAACAGTCGATTTGTTCGCAAGCCGCGGCTAAAATAAGCCCATGCTTGAAAGCTAGGCCTAAATTAGCCGCGGCTTGTTGCAAATTGACTGTTTATAGGAGTTCTTCGCCACTTATATAAGCCGCGGCTTATTTAGGCCGCGGTTTATTTTCGCTCGTATAAATGGCCCTAATGTAGTCTAACAAATGTATAAAATTCACACCTCAAATTTCCGTCCTCTACAATCATTTTTAGGTTCATCATGAAGTTTTTACCAGAGTTTCAGAGAGCATGAACATTCTGATATTATATGGTAAGTATCTTACCTTGAAATTGGGTGAGTATATTTTATTTTTCTTATCTTTATTCGCTTTATCCAAGTCTTCTTTGTGGAGTTCAAACCATGATGTCGCTCCAACCTCGTCATCTTGATCTTTGAAATTTTGAGTCATCATGGTCGGCTCGGCTTCGCTTGGCGGTGGTGTTAACCCAGACACGAAGAATGTATTGAACCAAAATTGAAACATTAGGTCCTGAATTAAAAACAACAACAATTGTTACATAGCTATAGGGTAAACACCAAACGTGATTGACTCATTTGTGGTCATGTGGCTGTACAAAAATGCATGCAATGTTGCTCGCCTCGACCGGCTACGTACACAAATAAACAAAATGGCGGCTAAAGATCGCGAGTTTATAAACTTGGATTTTCCAAGTTTGTGTTCAAATAAAGAATGTAAGAGAGAACAAAAATACACAACAGGCAACATGATATGTTGTTGAAACCGTTTAAGTAGGTTCTTTTAATTTTAAACTCGTTTACACTATAGAGTTTTTGTCATGAAATACAATTGTTGTATGAATGTTGTTGATTTTTCTTTCGTTTCTCTTGAACAAAACACGTAATGTCTGTTCTCACGCGAAATAGTCAGTTTCGTTTTTCCTCGAATCTTAATGTTTCCCTCGACTTCGTCTCGGAAAACAATAGAACTGTTGGAAAAACTAAAGTTCGTTCATAAATTATACAATAGGCTATAATTACATATTTAGTTGACCTTGCCCGGTCCAAATATGTTTGACAGTTTTTGTGTTATCGTTCTCAGGCATACCCACAGGCGGAAATAAAAAATTAATGAACTCGTTTCGTACCTTCTTCCCAAACCTGCTGTCTTTGTTATAAAACTGTACTTTAATATCCCCGCAGACTGGCAGTGGTTGCGGGAGATTGAAGCAAATATTCTTAGCGTCTTTTGTTGCACTCTAGAGAAACAAAAGCGTAAAATACTGCATATTAAAGGTATGGCAATCAAAAATAACTTTGTCTTATTTGAAAGAACTTTTAAAGTTATATATGAAGATTCTTTACAACTATTTCGTACCTTGTTTGGTTTTGATGACATTCACAAGCAGGGTAAACTTGTTAAAACTTGATATTCGCTGTGTTGGTGTTGTGTACTCAGGTGAATAAGATGCTTGTGATGTTACTCTGAGTGTATATCCACACCGGGCAAGCCCTCAGACTCAGTTCCGAAATATCACATACTCGAACCGACCTGACCGCGTAGCTCAGTTGACAGAGCATTGGGCTGGTATTGCAGGGTCGTGGGTTCGGTTCCCGCCGTGGTCAGGCGTATTTTTCGGGCCTGCCCAGTGTGGATATACACTCAGAGTAACATCACAAGCATCTTGTTAAAACTTCTTCATGTGGGACTAAATTTCTTCGAAAGTTTCTTAAAATGTTGTGAGTTCATTGAGTACTAAAAAGACTTCGGAAAATCGAGTTTCATATTGAAAATGACATGTGGTTTGCAAGATAAAAATTTCGCTTTTTACTCTGCTTGTGACGTATGCATATGGAATGCATATCCAAGATGGCGGAATGCACGCTGCTTTTGATCGAAATAAGTCGATTTATCTCGAAAGCCAAGCAAGATACGGAATAATTGTAAAGGAAGATTATATATCATTTTAAATGTTATTTCAAATAAGACAAACTTGATTTGTATTGCCAATTGCCATATCCCTTTAAAAAACTAATTAGTTACATTAAAAATTTCGGTAATCGTTCCATGTTTCGCGCAGCAATATAGTAAACGTTATGTAATGGATATTATAGTGTACTGCAAAGTCATGCAACTGGATACCGCCATATACATATATACACACCCTATAACCCTAACCTTAAACCTAACCCCAACCCTAACCCCTAATCTATATTGGTGCGCAATTTAACATTCAATTTTAATTCCCTCTTGGGAATTGTCTATGTTTCGTTTTCCATGCAATTCCCAACGGTGGACGCATGTGATTTCGACCGGCAATTTTTATTTGACGAGTATGTGGCCATTTCTCATCGTTACGATTTAAAAATAGTATCATTGAAAACTGAAAAGCTAAATAACTGTTCTTTCTTCCTATGTAAAAATTGAATTGTTTAGCCACGTTTATGATTTACGACAGCCTGTTGAATTTCCATAGCGTTTTTTTAGACACCCTGTATAATATTTAACAAATATAAAACATTTTCCGTGTTGATATACAGTTATATCAACACGAGTGGAAATTGGGAAAACGAGAAATTGTGTGGAAACACGACGCCCGAAGAAGGCCGGAGTGTTTTCACACAATTTCGAGTTTTCCCAATTTCCACGAGTGTTGATATAACTATATATCAATACGGAAAAAATGTTTTATATTTGTTTTATAATATAGCACAAAGAAACATAAAGAAAGAAATGTTCCGACGTTTCAGTGTTGACATTGAGTTATATCAACACGGCTCTTAGCCAATTAGCCAACGCTCTTATAGCGTTCAGAATTTACAAATGCTATATTATAATAGTAATTAACCTGCATACCTCTTGAGATTTTGACGAGTATATTTTTACTTTCGACTGCCATACGTAAAAGAATGGAGCTAAATGATAAAGAATAGAAGAAATTACTTGTGATAACCACAATTACCAAGCCTTAGTCATTTTTCGGTTCCCGCAAAGTCCACGCGGGTTTTATACCTCACGCGTAAAATCTCACATCTTGTAGCAAGTCTGCCAACAAGTTGTGTTCGCACTGCATGTCCCAAGTTGTCAACAAGTTTGGAACAAGCTGTTAACAACTTGTAACAATCTTGTTGATATTATCAGACTTGTTGCAAGGTTGTTCCAACCAGCCCGATACAGTTATGATCTAACAATATTGTTACAACCTTTGTGTCGTCAACCCTGTAACATTCTTGTTATATCATGACTGTATCAGGACTTGTTAGAACAACCTTGTGACAAGTCTGATGATGCCATCAATGCAGACATGTAACAACTTGTGCGTTCAAAATCTCACAAGATGTGTTCGCAACAGGCTTGTGGCAAGCATGTCAACAAGTTGTAACAATACTGTTATTTTATCAAACTGCTACAAGGTTGTCACTCACAACGTGTTGACAAATTATGGAATTGCAGGACGACAACAAGTTGTTGGAACAACTTGTAACAAGTCTGTTGAGCTCAACAACCTTGTAGCAAGTTGTCAACAAGCCACTGACAATTTGTCAACAAGCTGGGAACAAGCAGTGCGAACACATTAATCTGTTAACAAGATGTCAGAACAGCATTGCGACAAGTCTGCTGCAGATTTGTTACAAGTTGTACGTTTTTACGTGTGTATATCATAGATATCTTATATACACTAGATAGTGCATCTAATTATTCTGCAATTCAAAAATTGAAGCCGTGATTGCAGTCTCAGGTCGTTCCCATGAAATGAGAAAATTCGGATGTTTCCTATTTCTTAAACAGGGAACTTAAACATTAAGTTAACGCTATTGCAAATACGTTTTTAAACTATTCAAATGATGAAAGTTATTGTTGTTTTTAAGCGTTTATTAGCAAGTGGGAACGACCAACATGGCCGCCATCTATTCAAATGGGGGTAACCGCTGGAATATTTTTGCCTTCAATTTTACTAAAAGAGATGCGCTATCTAGTGTATATAAGATATCTATGGTGTATATGTACAAGAGATCACTATATTAACAGTTGACAGTTTACAGGTAAAAACTCACCACAGGTTCCATTGTTAACGCTGGGGACAGTCTCCATGACGAATCTGGTAATGAGCAAAGTCGTCGGTGTGTACGTCAGACTGTGTTTTAAAAAATGTGCATAATAATAAACATATCTTCTCTGACTTGGGATCGTCACGCCTTTCTTGTTCCGCGTCCTAGCTTCGCCATAATACTCCAGCGCTTCTTTACAAGTGTCGAAGATGTTCTGATGAAGAAGATATGCACAGATCATCACTCCTGTCCGACCCTGGAATACAGAATTTAAAAAAGTTGAAAAATAAGCAAAACGCCAACAAGTTACGTTATGGGAGACCTTATAAAGCTCGCCGCACACGAGAGCAACTTGCTGAGTTAACCGCCTCGCGAGGCGGTCAGCTCAGCAAGTTGCTCTCGTGTGCGGATAGTTTTCGTGAGGATTTGACCTCTCGAGGCCTTGAGGAAAATATCTATCGTGTTTGATATTTTTCGCCTCGCGACGAAAAAATCTCAGCGTCTGCGGATGTTGTGAGCTTAGTGCTGAACTGTTTGAATCAATTAGCCAATGAGAAACCATGGTTTCTTCATGTGACTTGGAACAAAATGGAGGAAAATGCAAATGATTTTGTCAATTATGTTGTTGTTGAGTAGTTTTCCCAACGTGTGCGGTGAAAATACATAGCTGAGCTAGCTGCCTCGCGAGGTGGTTAGCTCAGCAAGTTGCTCTCGTGTGCGGCGGGCTTAAGATTGATATTTACAGCAGAACTGCAAACTTCAAAGCAGGATTTTTTGAACGTACAAAGTTGTCCTTCAGTAGCATTATATAAATGTTGTGTATTGAATGTATTCGAGTGAGGCCAAAAGCTACTGTCGAACGTATATAAAGCCTAACTTAGGCGGCAAATTTTAATATAAAAACTATAAAAATATAAAAAGTTTAAAATGGTGTCTTACTGTCTTAGCAATAATTGTGAAACTCCTGGAGAGAAATAAAACCATTTCTTCTGGTAACTACAAACACCCTAGCCTACACCGTAGGCTACAAACACCCCAGAAAAAAGAATAATCTCAAACCTTTCCAGCTTTGCAATGAACAATTGCAACATTTTCTCGATCGCTCAGGAAAGTAGCCATGTCTTCACAGTATGGTTGCATCAGTTGGAAGGGTGGGGCATTGTGGTCATCAAATGGATACTTGGCAACTAATGTTGAGAAAAGTATGGAAATTAACCAGCAGCTGCTAGACTTGGTATCAGGGCTCAAAATTTGCAGTATCCTGATTTCCATTTTGGATATTGTAAATCATAGACTTAGGGCCTGTTCATATGGGCAAAAGTTATCCCGGTTAGCGAGAAAACCTTTCGACAAGTTTACAAGCGAGATCTCGCCTTGGTATGAAAATACTATAAAAAGTTACACTGCGTTCTCCCATATGAACACAACTTTCCCGCTTAGCGGGATAACTTTCTGTCGTGTCAGTAACTTTTCAATTCAATTGATGTTCAGTGCTACGTCACAGTCGGAAGCTTTACCCGGTTAAGCGGGATAACGTTTCTCCATATGAACAGAACAAAAGTATTTGGCTAGTCGAAAATTTTTCTCGTTAACCGGGATAACTTCTGCCCATATGAACAGGCCCTAAGTATTCAAACGTGACGCTATATGAATTCTGAACTCTGAAGTCTGTATTACACATTGTGGTAAAATGTTCGATAACACAGCTTGTTTTGGCACTTTGGTTCTTATTCTGTGTATTTTTGGTTACTGAGGTTTTCGCCGAGCAAATGTGGGACACTAAATTTCAATGAGGAGTAGCAGATTAAGGTGCTAGTATCTATCGATTCCTACCGTGGCCATTACATATTATGCAAATACTGTATATTTTCAAAATCCGCCATATTTATTTACATTAGAACCCAAGCACAGCAAGCTTTCGCGGCTCACGCCCGTGATTTCCACTGATAATACAAGGGTAGGATCATCCATTGGACCATAGACAATCCAGAAGACATTTCGATTGTCTTCTGGAAGGTCGGGATTTCGACGTCCAAAAGCTGGGTAGGGTTGGGAAACCGGAAACCCACATATTTTTTTTGGCCCTATTTAGATAGAATACTACCATTGTCAAATTGAATTGGTCCTTAAATTAAAAAGCCTGTGAGCAAATAAAACAAATGGGCAAGCTTAACTAAGACAAAAAAATTTTAAATTGCCATTAATGGGTTTTTGAATGGCTTTTAAAGATTTATTTGAATGGCTTTTAAAGATTTATCGTGTATTTATTTGTTATTATACATTGTAGTCGCTGCATTTGTTCTGATTGGTTAATAGCTTACAGCTAAATAAGGCAATCACACAACCTACACATAACTCAATTATCCGATAGCAGATAACTAATGTGTAAGTTGAGCCTGCGGTATGTAATTTTATAGCAAGCGGCAGTTTAAATGCACAAATAAAAACAAGATAAAACAACATGAGCAAATGGCATTTTCGTGAATGTTTTTTTGTGCAAAAAGCAGACCTTTTTGGTATTTTTATCGGAACTTTAGTAGCTAAATGAGATTTCTAATATTTTTATGCTGTTATTGTAATATTTTAACACAGCTTATTTTTCAGAACCAAATGTTGTTTTGTGTGACAAATCGTTGTTTGTTGATAGAGTTATAAAAATGCAATGTATAGTAAAACAGTTATTGAATTCGGTTTTTGTGATATCCTGAATTATCAAGGTCTCTGTAACTGTTATCAATCTCGCCTTTGGCTCAGCTGATAACACTTACCTTGACAATTCAGGATATTACAAAAACCTCATCCAATAACTATTATAGATTTTCCATATGGTACTGCAATTTCCAGTTGAGCGTGGAAATGCGAAAGTCCATTCGTTAAGTTTTGTCGTTTGAAAACAATGTTTGTGACGTCATTCTATAATGTTACTAAGTGAGCTGACAATGTTGTCAAGTAAAATACTGTCTAAGTAAAATAGAAACTTATTTTGTTTTGTAATGAATTGAGAGCTCGTGAGAGAAGAGCACATTGTGAGCTCGCCTAGTAACATTATAAAATGACGTCACATACATTGTTTTCAAACGACAAAACTTAATGAACAAACTTTTGCAATTCCACACTCAACTGGAAATCACAGTAAATTGGTAAAATACTGTACATGATGTTTAATATTTTGAACTCTAGCAGAAATGTATGCATGGCAAAATAAATCTGTACAGAAAAAGTCACTCACCTCGATGATTAAATTTAGCAGGATCATATTCCCTCTCAGAGCATCTGTAAAAAGCAAGATAAATACATGATATTTTCTGTGTTGGTGCAATGTACTCAGGTGAATAAGATGCTTGTGATGTTACTCTGAGTGTATATCCACACCGGGCAAGCTTGAAAAATATGCCTGACCACGGTGGGAATCGAACCTACGACCTTTGGAATACTAGCCCAATGCTCTACCAACTGAGCTACGCGGTCTGGTCGGTTCTAGTATGTGATATTTCGGAACAGAATCTAGTTCCTTCGATATCAATGTAATCTAGTAATAATGATATTTTCTGTGTTGGTGCAATGTACTCAGGAGAATAAGATGCTTGTGATGTTACTCTGAGTGTATATCCACACCGGGCAAGCTTGAAAAATATGCCTGACCACTTGAACCAACCAGACCGTGTAGCTCAGTTGGTAGAGCATTGGGCTAGTATTCCAAAGGCCGTAGGTTCGATTCCCACCGTGGTCAGGCATATTTTTCAAGCTTGCCCGGTGTGGATATACACTCAGAGTAACATCACAAGCAAGATAAATACATGTTTTACAATCAATTTTCACATAAATTTTGCCTGAAATGTTCCCAACTCAACTTCAAAGTTTGCAAATTCGATGCATTCAAAAGTTCATGATAATACTAACAAACTTGTATATAAACTAAGCTCCATGGCTTGAAATTTGCAGTATCCTGTCCAATATCCACGGGATGCCAGATAATATCATTGAAAGATCAAAATAAATGATGCAGGTCTGCAAATAAATATTTGACTTGACAGGACATTTGTCCGATCACTTTTAATTTTGGTCGGACATAACTTGAATTTGGTCGGACATATATAAGTCACAAGATATATATATATATATAAGTCATGAGACAAGTATATAGCCATTCCGGCGCAACGTTAAGTAAAATGCTAGAATGCCTCGTAAATTTTATTGCAAAATGCAAATTGAGTGAATTTGTAATCGGATTTTGTCACAGCAAAAAAATGTATAATGTGACAGTATTTTTTTTGATCGGACCAATGTCCGATCAAAATTACTTTTGCTCGGACATTTGCCAAATTTAGTCGGACATTGTCTGATGTCCGACAGTAATTTGCAGCCCTGTGATGTCACCTTTACTCGGTTGACTGACATTATGGTGTCATTGTAAAATCTACCCAATCCCGATTGGGTAGATTGTAGCAGGAATAATCGATAATTACTGATTGACTAGTACATCTGGTACTACCAGTACCAGATTTTAAGTTGCTAATACCCCATTGGATAGTGCTAGAAATTTCAAGCCCCGCCAAGCATTTGATTGGCTGCTTTTAATTCACGGACCAATCTGAGGCTTTGTTTACAAACTGGCTTGTAATTTCAATATCAAATGTTGACCTTTGCAACTAATTGGCAAACTTTGGGAAGATGTTCGAAACAGTCCAGGCAGACATTATGTGAAATTGACTATTCACTAACAACTTTCAAGACGTCAGACTTTTACAAAACAGCCGGTCGCTTAACATGTGACAAACTTACAAATTGTAAACTTTGTAATGGTCTTTATGCTTGGTTTCGAGAAACCTGTAAAGATAGGGAATATAAATGGTCGTTATCACCAAACTACAAATATAATCCATTGGTACTTCAACACTGAAACTATTTGAAATCTTATATACACCTTAAAATTTCCTCAATATGATTTCGATAAACTCCTTCGATTCTTTCCGATGGAAATCCCATTGCAACAATATTTGGCTTAATATCTTCAAAATGAGTCAAGGAGAATTTAATATGACACAAAATTCCCTAAAAACTCTGAAAATCTTTAAATTGTCTGAAAATCTTTAAAATTTTGGAAATCTCAAAAATCTTGTACTGATACATTGTTCGGAGTGATACCGCATGCCAGATTAAGATATGAGAAAGAGAAACACAAGGGTTGATTTTGAAAGGAGGATTTGAAAATCTTTCAGCTATATTCTTCTTAATATATAATATAATTTTATGGAAATTTGTTGATGATACTACAACGTCGGAGACGATTTTTAAAAGCAAAGCAAGTCATGCTCAGTCAGTTGCAGACCACATGTCAAGTTGGTCAAGTCTAAATATGCTCCAACTTAACCCTAATAAGTGCAAATAATCACATATATCCTTTTCGAAGTGTTAGCATGATTTTAACCCCATTGTTATTAATGGAAAACCTCTTGAAGTCGTCCAAAGTGCAAACCTTTTAGGTCTTATAATCACCAGTAACATTTCCTGGAATGCTCATTTAAATTATATTATAAAGAGGGCTTTGAAAAAATCTACTTCCTTATACAAATGAAGAGGGCAAATGTTGTACCGTATGTCAACATATGATCTTAAAACATTCTATGTTGCATGTATTAGATCTGTACTATGTAGTACCAGTTTTCCATGGTTCACTACCTAATTACCTTATCAAAGATATGGAAAGAATTCAAAAACAAGTTATGTTAATCATCCATCCTAATCTTGAGTACAAAATGGCTTTGAAGAAACTTCAAATAGAACATCTCAAAATCCATCATGAAAATATTTGCAAGTCGTTGTTTGATTCTAAGGCAACGCGCACAAACTGCATGTCTTATTGCCTCCTCTTAACGCATTAAAGTACGACTTTAGACATAACTGCAAGTTCATGTTACCGAGGATTAATACCAATCGTTGTAAAAATAGTTTTATAATATCCGGCAGCCAAAAAACAAACAGATATTCTTAGATTATAGGTTTTAAACTCACATTTTTAGCTAGTTCAGAGTATAGTCTATTCTTAACTGTTCACTTTATTGTATATAATACACAATTCAGCATTATTTTTGAAATAAATATAAATCATAATAAACAACAAAAATACTCCATCTTTTGAAAGCATTTGATTGTTGTCAAATCTTGCAATGAAACTTTGCAACCACAGTATAGAGCAATTATTGGATCATAATTGCCCAATCGAGTCTCATGTAATGCCATAGGCATCAAAACACGGGAGAGGGGGGTATAGGAGGGGTAAAGTGTCATATCCTGTACTGCTTAAAATGCAAAACAAACGTGAAATGACAAACGTTTCTAAACATCAAATCTTTAGAGGGTGCAAGAAATGCCATGTTAGAAAGTACAGATTTCAAACTTTTCCAGGGACCATACCTCCCCTTTATCTAGTCTCCCCCCCCGTCAAGCACCAAGCCAATATTCAGCGCCAAATGTGTAGTGTAGTATGCCCTTATATATCTTGAAACATTTACACATTGAGCGCCAGCACTCTCCCCTTGACGAGTTACACCGTCTTGCATTAGACAGAATAAACAATAAAGTAGGGCAATTTAGGGCGTGGTGCAGTCCACTTTACGGATTAAAGTACAAAAATAATTATGTCACAACTCAAAAAACATTTTATAGAATACCACACGATTGTAAACAAGCTCAAAACACCAAAATTTAATAATCTTCTAGACCACAAAACAGCAAAATATTGCCTTATTAAGCCCCCCAAAAACCGAGATTAATAACTTTCTAAACCACAGAACACTAAAATATTGCCATATTAAGACACGCTTAATTTAATAACATTAAATCCAAACACAATATATTTGTATGCATCAGACAATACGAAAAAATATACACAATACGAAAACATATTTTAAGCATTCAATTGAGTTGTAAAAATATTTAAAAATAAAGACAAATTCACACTATAAATATTTGTGAAATCACGAGAAAACAAATTAATCAGATGGATTAATGAAATTAGTCAAAAACTTTCAATAGAGTAATTATTAATTATGACCTCCAAGTGCGTTTATTAAAATCGAATTTTTTTGTTGCTATTTTTTAACACCCACAGAATTGCTGTCGAAAATAAGACATCTAAAAGATTTCTATTCTATTCCTCTGAAAATTGAAGCAATTAAATGCTTTTAGTGCACTTTAGTTTTAGCAAAAGCTTAACAGATTTCTGTTACATTAATAATATCGCGGAAGTGGAATGGGCTAATAATTTTGCCAAAAATTAAATGCTATGCCCCTTGTCAAAAGAACTGATTTCGAAGCGAAATAAACCCCGGTCTTAGAACAGCTTTAAAGGATACAAGACAGGTCCAAATCGAAGCCATCCTCGTAGAATCGTCTCTTCTTTTTGCTGACAAGTTTTTTCAAATATGCTTCCATGTCAATAGATATTTTGGTGTCTTGAACCCCCCTACTTTATCGCCGCATTGCCATTTCTTCGCTTCGCCGTCGCCCGAAAGGAACCGTAGATTATATCCGCGAGTTATTTAGCTCGTCGTTGCCAAAAGGATCGGCGTTTAATCCACAGAAATAAGGAGAAATTTAGTAAAACGTGTCACTAAAAATACGCTCTACATCCAGACGCCATTTTGTGGCCTCTCTTTGCAAGTGAGTAATCGAACTTCCGCTTTCCATATATGGAAGTTTTGGGTGGGTTGTGTCTTTGTTAAGGTGGCATTAGCATATTTTACGACTTCACGCGAAATTTTTTGTGCACGAAAGCAAAAAATTGAGCACGAAAGTGAAAAGGAAAAGCCCATTACCCATTATAGAATTTCAAAGCTCTTATTTTTGACAATTTAAGGCCCCGTTTCCATGGGACCAGGACGAAGTCAAACCGGAATGAAATTGAAATTGTCAACATGTTTACATGAGACCGGTACGAAAATCATAAAAGTTTCTGATTTATTGGCCTTGCCAGGCAATTTTTTCTTTCAGATGGCTTTTGTTAGCTGGTGTTGTTCCATTGTCAAGGTTACAGCCGAGACCGGTCTGATATGTTTTTGCGGTTTACATTCATCCCGGTCTGAATTCATGCCGGTATAAAGTCACTGAGGCGGAATGACTTGAGACGGTTCTTTGAGTTATTTTCGTCCCGGTCACAACATCTGTCATAAATAATACTATGACCGAAACGAAATGGTATCAACGGGCCCTTACACGGGAATCTTTTGTATATAGTAGTTATGTAATAATAACTCAGGCGTTCAAAAACTAATGAATAGACTTTTTCACTTGGTTATGACTCATAGTATTCACATTTTAAAATTTTTTATTCGTTTCTCAAGCGACAAACAAACTTAAAAAGTATGTTTAGTGCTTTGTCTGTAAACTAATGCTAAAATGAAGAGATTTTAGATGGTACGCCAAAGAAAAAATGATGTCCGAAGTTCAGTAAGTTTTGCTTATATTGCTGTATAAATATGGCGTCAATTTAATACAGCATCAATATAATTATATTTAAATTGACAGTATTGAAATTCAACTATGTTTGTGTTTCTCAACCGCCAGATACATTTAAAACAAAGGAATTTTAATTTGCCTCTTAAAAATAAGACGTTTTTTTATAGGCACCCGTCCGGTGCTTTACTCGGCAAAAAAAACGCGGGAGTTTTCGCACGCAAGAAGCAAATTAGTTTGCTATAGATTTGCAAACAAATTGTTACAAATCTGTTCACAAGCTGTCGACAAGTTGTGTTCGCACTGCTTGTTCCCAGTTGTTGTAACAAGTTTGGAACAAGCAGTTAACAACTTGTAACAAGCTTACAAGGTTGTTAGTCTAACAATGTTTGTGATGTTACTCCGAGTGTGCATCCACACCGGGCAAGCTGAAAAGTTAGCTTGACCACGGTGGGAATCGAACTCGCGACCTTTGGGATACTAGTCCAAGTCTGATACAGTCATGATATAACAAGAATGACACAAGGTTGCAACAATATCGTTATATAATAACTGTATCGGACTTGTTGGAACAACCTTGCAACAAGTCTGACAATATCAACAAGGTTGCTACAATTAAGTTGTTGACAATTTGGGACAAGCAGTGCGAACACAACTTGTTGGCAGAATTGCTACAAGATGTGAGATTTTTGCGTGTGCATACCAAGAAAGTATAAACCTTTCTAAAATTAAATTTTATTACGATTTAAATGGACCATTTGCACTATAGACTAAATTTTGATCTAGATAAAAATTTCATCACAGCTTGAAAGAGCATCACAAAATTAGTAATATTCCAAAGTTTCGTTCCGAAATGTTGTAAAATGCGGATAACATAGCCTTGCGAAGTTTGCAATTTTCAGTCATTTTAGATTACAAACGGGAAATTGATGCCCCAACACCCGATTGGGCTGTCAATTTCCCGTTTGTAATCTAAAATGACTGAAAAACGGCAAACTTCGCATGGCTATATTATCCGCATTTTACAACATTTCGGAACAAAACTTTGGAATATTACTAATTTTGTGATGCTCTTTCAAGCTGTGATGAAATTTTTGTCTAGATCAAAATTTAGTCTATAATACAAAATTGCTTATGATTGTTTATTCGTTCGTATAGCCGGTTTTAATTTTTGACTACACACGTAAAAATCTCACATCTTGTAGCAAGTCTGCCAACAAGCCGTCAACAAGTTGTGTTCGCACTGCTTGTCCCAAGTTGTCAACAAGTTTGGAAGAATCTGCGTGTTAACTTGTAACAACCTTGTTGATATTATCAGACTTGTTGCAAGGTTGTTCCAACAACTCCGATACAGTCATGATATAACAATATTTTAACAACCTTGCGTCGACAACTTTGTAACAATCTTGTTATATCATGACTGTATCAGACCTGTTAGGACAACCTTGTAACAAGTCTGATAATGTCATCAAGCTTGTTACAAGTTGCGGTTAACAGCGGTTAGGTTAAAACGCGGATACGGACGGACGGATGACGGACGGATGAGTGGCGGACGGACGGACGGATGGCTTCCAAAAAATGTTTTTCAGGGTTAACAGCTTGTTCCAAACTTGTTACAATAACTGGGAACAAGCAGTGCGAACACAACTTGTGAACAAATTTGTGCGTTTTTACGTGTGTAGCCGGAATTAATTTTGCGCGCGGAGCGGAATTTTTATTTGCCTTTACTATAATTAGTTCCACACGAGACATCACAAAACAAAGATTATGTAATCACGTATATTTCAAAATAATTAGACGATTAAGCCTGGTTTCATTATGGTCGTAATGGTCGTAAAAAGAGTCACGCTCTTTCTCAACGGCCAGTTTATAATCACTCCGCGTATTTTCAGTTCTAAAATGTTGTATTTCGGCAGATGAGAAAGATCGTGACTCAATCTTTACGACCGTTACGACCATATGGAAACCAGGTTTTAACACACTCATTAACGATTTGTTAGCAGAAACTGGGAAAACGGTCAAACCACGGTAAAAAACGGCCATAAATCAACTCGTCAACTATCATCGCCTTGAATTTGTCTTTAAATACAAGTCCTTTTGAGAAGTAAGATAATAAATTCGACAGCTGTTTAACACTGGTGTTCAAAGCACCTCAAAGTCATAGATATCTTATATAGACTATAGATAGCGCATCGATCTCCTTTAGTAAAATTGAAGCCAAGAATATTCCAGCGGTTACCCCCATTTGAATAAATGGCAGCCATGTTGGTGTTTCCCACTCGCTAATAAACGCTTAAAAAACAACAATAACTTTCATCATTTGAATAGTTTAAAAATGTATTTGGAATGGGTTTACCTTAATATTTAAGTTCCGTGTTTAAGAAATAGAAAACATACGAATCTTCTCATTTCAATTTTTGAAATGTAGAATAATTAGATGCATTATCTAGTGTATATAAGATATCTATGCTCAAAGTATGTAAGGTGTCAGCCTCGTCCCCAGGCGCTTTGATTTGCTGCGCCGTTGATGAGTTGGAGCCTGGGGACGAGGCTGGTAAGGTGTAGCGTTTTTCAACACATACTTATCATAAATTACTTAAGTATACAACAAAGTATTACGAAGACGTCATGTTTACATAATTGAAAGGTTTTGCAGAAGCAAATCATCGAATGTTAATTTTATATACATTCGTGTATTTCATGACGAAGAGACAAAGAACCATTACGCCCATACGGAAAACAGCCTTAAGTTAAATCACACTGATATCTTTGAGGTATAATTTCTGCAACAGATCGATGTCACAAACATACAGCTGACGAATGTGTAGACGTTGAATTTCCATGAGATTATTTGGTTGTCAGGCTGGCTGTCAACTTTGATACCTCTGTAGTAATGTATTATAACAAATGTCGCAGACGCGAACGGGCTTAGCTGAAGATGGTAGAGGCATTTCATTGTCCGAACATGGATTACAAAAGATTCCACCACAATTGCGACAGTGGTGCTGAAAAATAAACCAAAATTACAAAATTATATATAGAAGTATGATCAAACTTCATCCAGTCCTAAGACTTGATCAAACTTCATCGAGTCCTAAGACGTGATAAAACTTCATCCAGTCTTAGGACTTGATCAAACATCATCCAGTCCTAGGACTTGATTAAAACTTCATCCAGTCCTAAGCCTTGATCAAACTTTATCCAGTCCTAAGACTTGATCAAACTTCATCTAGTCCTAAGCCTTGATCAAACTTTATCCAGTCCTAAGACTTGATCAAACTTCATCCAGTCCTAAGACGTGATCAAAACTTCATCCAGTCTTAGGACTTGATCAAACTTCATCCAGTCCTAAGACTTGATCAAACTTCATCCAGTCCTAAGACTTGATCAAACTTCATCCAGTCCTAGGACTTGATCAAAACAACATCCAGTCCTAGGACTTGATCAAACATCATCCAGTCCTAGGACTTGATTAAAACTTCATCCAGTCCTAGGACTTGATCAAACTTCATCCAGTCCTAGGACTTGATCAAAACATCATCCAGTCCTAGGACTTGATCAAACTTCATCCAGTCCTAGGATCAAATCTTATCCAGTCCTAGGACTTGATCAACAGCTCATCCAGTTCTAGGATCAAATCTTATCCAGTCCTAGGACTTGATCAACAGCTAATCCAGTTCTAGGACTTGATCAAACCTTCATCCAGTCCAAGGACTTGATCAAACTTCATTCTGTCCTAAGACTAGAACAAACTTCATCCAGTGCTAGAACTTGATCAAACTTCATCCAGTCCTAGGACTTGATCAAATCTTATCCAGTCCTAGGACTTGATCAACAGTTAATCCAGTCCTAGGACTTGATTAAAACTTCAGTTAATCCAGTCCTAGGACTTGATTAAAACTTCATCCAGTCCTGAGACTTAATCAAACGTATCCGACTTCTATCTAGGACGACTATAATCGACTTCACTTTTTGAGGACTTTTTGTACACTTTCAATAATCGTAAATGAATTTAACAACTTAAATACAAGAAGCATTTACACGGAAGAGTTTGTTAACAAGCCATAAAAAGAATGTTTAAACATTGTATTAAACCACTAGGCAGTTATGAGTCTATACTTTGAGTTTATATTTGCAACGATATCAACGATATTTCACAACAGCAGTAGCATAAGTTCTTGCTTTATTCATGGCTGGGAACTCTGTCCATGTGTTTGTGTCAAAACTGAAACATTCACAATATCTAATATCTGCAAGAATATTTTCTGTGCCACCCATTACGATAATGTTATCACGGACGATCACTGCTGTGCAACCATATCGCTTCCTTCGCATCGCCGGCAACATGCGATAACTTCCCGTGGTAACATTATACAACAACGCTGTATCCAGAGGTCGTTTATCTCTGTCTCTCCCGCCAAGGACAACCACATTGTCTTTCCAAGTTACTGTTGCCATTTTTGATACTCGGTATGGCAGTCGATTGAGCTCTGTACAAGTATTGGTTGCTGGGTCAAACATGAGAACAGTGTCTTTCGCGTTTTCATGAGACCCAGTCTTAGTGCCACCAATGATGTATATCTTGTCATTCACTATCTCGGCACTATGGCAACATATTGGTCGAGGCATGGTGGTTAACAACCTTGACGTAAAGGGAGGGGTCAGCTGAATTTCATGTATGGTATCGTAAACTCTGGGACAGGAAAAACCTCCGATAACAAGAAGACGATTCCGATATACCACACACGCATGATGAGCAGACGGTGCTGGTAATCTCAATTGAGATTCAACCCAATGTCCATCTTGTTGATCAAGATTTAATTTCTCGACGCTGTCAAGGTCGGAGATAGAAGCTCCCCCAGTCACAAGGATGTGACCTTGGTATAAAACTGAACTTGCCCCAGGTCTATCTGTGTTCATTGCTGAGAGTGGCCGCCATGTTTTGCTTGCCATATTGAACACTTCGACCGACGTGCAAAGAATCCCACCAGCGACAACTATTTCGGCTTGCAATTCCTGAGCATTGCTTTCACGACCGGCTCGCATATTTCGTTCAATTATCGCAAGATTTGACATCGCATTTTCCATCTTTTTAAACAATTCATCTTGGGAAGAGCAAAGCTTATCAATTTGATGTTTCATAACAGTAATCTCGGCATTCATTTGACGAACTTCGTGTCTTTCTGGGCACGTGTGCTGAGTAAAGTTCTTATACAGTACAATTTTGGCGCAGTGGTGACACATGATTCGTCGAAAATCGCAGACTTTACTTTCGTGAGTTTCTTTATCGCGTCGAATAACAATTTCCTCACATTGATCGTTTGAACATGGCACCGGACTGAAATCACAAATTGCTACGTGCGCCTCAAGTGAGCCAAGTTCGACAACCTTGCGACAACCACGCTCGGAATTCTCGCACGAAATCTTCAAACTCGACAGAGTGCTGGCCAAGAATCGCTGAGGTTCGCCTAGTGTCTCTACGGTCAAGCGTTCTTTACATGTTGGGCAATTTCGCGAACGTTTTAGATGTTCAGTGATACAATTTCTACAGAAATGATGTTCATTCCTGCGACATTGCACCGGGTCTTTCAATACTTCAGTGCAAATCACGCAATGAAGATTATCATCAACTTGTGTTTCAAACCTTGTATCTTCGTGGCCTGTTGCCATCGCTTTACACTCCGTGTCTCTCAACGTTTTTCAAAACTTTGTTTTAAATTAAGAATAGTAAATAATCGACAATGTTTGGCTGTATCTATTCGCCTTTATGAAATTTGAACCATCATACGACAAATTCTGTCAAATTATGACAAATTTGCGTTGTTATAGACATTAATCCGGTGCATGCCATCTAGATAATATCGAATTTCGTTTTCCAGTCTCATTTTGAGGCGAAGCCCAAAGGGCAAAGACGGGAGCACAATATGAGGATTTTAAATATGATCAAACTTCATCGATGTCCATAGTAAAACTTGGGATCAAACTTGTTCCAGTCCTAGGAATTGATCAACGTTTATGTCTTCATCCAGTCCTGTCCTAGGACTTGAATAAAACTTCATCCAGTCCTAGGACTTGATCAAACTTCAAAATGCTACAATCGTTTGATCAAGTCTTAGGACTGGATAAAGTTTGATCAAGTCTTAGGACTGGATGAAGTTTGATCAAGTCTTAGGACTGGATAAAGTTTGATCAAGTCTTAGGACTGGATGAAGTTTGATCAAGTCCTAGGACTGGATGAAGTTTGATCAAGTCTTAGGACTGGATAAACTTTGATCAAGTCTTAGGACTGAATGAAGTTTGATCAAGTCCTAAGACTGGATGAAGTTTAATCAACTCCTAGGACTGGATAAAGTTTGATCAAGTCTTAGGACTGGATAAACTTTGATCAAGTCCTAGGACTGGATGAAGTTTGATCAAGTCTTAGGACTGGATAAACTTTGATCAAGTCTTAGGACTGAATGAAGTTTGATCAAGTCCTAGGACTGGATAAAGTTTGATCAAGTCTTAGGACTGGATGAAGTTTGATCAAGTCTTAGGACTGGATAAACTTTGATCAAGTCTTAGGACTGGATAAAGTTTGATCAAGTCTTAGGACTGAATGAAGTTTGATCAAGTCCTAAGACTGGATGAAGTTTGATCAATTCCTAGGACTGGATAAAGTTTGATCAAGTCTTAGGACTGGATGAAGTTTTGATCAAGTCCTAGGACTCGGCAAGTATGACTGTATGAAGATGAAGTTTTGATCAAGTCCTAGGACTCGGCAAGTATGACTGTATGAAGCTATGAAGTTTGGTCAAGTCCAAAAATTGAATAAAGTTCCGATCAGATTTCAATTCCCATATCACACTCCAGTCCTGAGCCATCGCCTCAGGCAAAATTGAGAGTTTGACGCGAAATTCGATCCATATGATCTACACGTCCTTGTCTGGTGTGATAATAGGCTGTTGTGTCGATCATAGTTCGATAAAAGACCAGTTCAAAAACGTTGAGAATGTAAAGCATGGCAACATGGCAACAGGCTATAAAAATAGACGGTTTGAAACAAAAGTTGATGAAAATCTCCATTGCGCGAAGACCCGGTGCAATGTCGCAGGAATGAACATCATTTCTGTAGAAATTGTATCACTGAACACCTGAAACGTTCGAGAAATTGCCCAACATGTGAAGACCGTTTGACCGTAGAGACACTGCGTAAACCCCAGCGTTTTCTGGCCAGCACTCTGTCGTGTTTGAAGATTTCGTGCGAGAATTCTCAGCGTGGTTGTCGCAAGGTTGTCGAACTTGGCTTACTCGAGGCGCACGCAGCAACTTGTGACTTCAGTTCAGTGCCATGTTCAAACGATCAATGCGAGAAAATGGTTATTCGACGCTATAAAGAAATTCACGAAAGTAAAGTCTGCGATTTTCGACGAGTCAAGTGTGACTACTGCGCCGAAATGGTACTGCATAAGAACTTAATCACCCAGCATGCGTGTCCAGCGAGAAACGAAATTCGTCAAATGAAAGCCGAGATTACTGATATGAAACGTCAAATTGATAAGTTTTGCTCTTCCCAAGACGAAATGTTTAAAATGATGGACAGTGTGATGTCAAATATCGTGAGAATTGAACAAAATATGCGAACCGGTCACGACAGCAATGCTCAGGAATCGCAAGCCGAAATAGTTGTTGCTGGTGGGATTATTTGTACGCTGGTCGAAGTGTACAATATGGCAAGCAAAACATGGCGGCCACTCTCAGCAATGAATACAGATAGGCATGGAGCGAGTTCAGTCTTATACCAAGGTCACATGCTTGTGACTGGGGGAGCTTCTATCTCCGACCATGACAGCGTCGAGAAATTAAATCTTTATCAACAAGATGGACATTGGGTTGAATCTCAATTGAAATTACCAACAGGATGTGCTCATCATGTATGTGTGGTATACCAGAATCGCATTCTTGTTATCGGCGGTTTTTCTTATCCCCGAACTGTCTACGATACCATACATGAAATTCAACTGATCCCTCCCTTTACGTCAAGGTTGCTAGCCACCATGCCTCGACCAATATGTTGCCATGGTGCCGAGATAATCAATGACAAGATATACATCATTGGTGGCAGTACGACTAGGTCTCAACGAGACGCAATAGACACTGTCCTCGTGTTTGACCCAGCAACCAATACTTGTACAGAGCTCGGTCGACTTCCATATCCGGTAACAAAGATGGCAACAGTAACTTGGAAAGACAATGTGATCGTCCTTGGCGGGCAAGATAATGAAGAGAAGGCTTTGAATACAGTGTTGTTGTATAATGTGACAACAGGAAGTTATCGCATGTTGCCCGCGATGCAAAAGAAGCGATACAGTTGCACAGCGGTGACCGTTGGTGATAGTATTATCGTACTGGGTGGGGCGAAAGATATGTTTTCAGATATTAGATATTGTGAATGTTTCAATTTTGATACAAACACGTGGACGGAGTTCCCAGCCATGAATAAAGCAAGATCTCAAGCTACAGCTGTTGTAAAATATTGTTGACATTGCGCAGTGACAGCGTAACAAATTTGTTCTAGAGAGACTCATAAGTTCTTTGCACTAAATACTAATAGTAAATATAATTGTTTGGTTTTGCAGAAAAAAACGATGTTTGTAGATTTGCTTTAGGCAAAACTTTCACACAAGCTCGAATGTTCATCACTGTAGCTTTGCAAGTACATAATACTAGCGCAATTTATACGAGCGAAAATACGCCTCGGCTTAAATAGTCGCGAATGACTCGTAAAAACAGTCAATTTGCAATAAGCTGTGTTTCAATCCAGTCCTAGGACTTGATCAAACTTCATCCAGTCCTAGGACTTGATCAAAACTTCATCCAGTCCTAAGACTTGATAAAACTTCATCCAGTCCTAAGACTTGATCAAACTTCATTCAGTCCTAGGACTTGATCAAACTTCATTCAGTCCTAGGACTTGATCAAACTTCATCCAGTCCTATATAGGACTTGATAAAACTTCATTCAGTCCTAGGACTTGATCAAACTTCATCTAGTCCTAAGACTTGATCAAACTTCATCTAGTCCTAAGACTTGATCAAACTTCATCTAGTCCTAGGACTTCATCAAACTTCATCCAGTCCTATATAGGACTTGATAAAACTTCATCCAGTCCTAGGACTTGATCAAACTTCATCCAGTCCTAAGACTTGATGAAACTTCATCCAGTCCTAGGACTTGATCAAACTTCTTCCAGTCCTAGGACTTGATCAAAACGAATTTCCCAGCAGTTCTAAATACATTAATTTACTTACTTTTCGACGAGAAATTGAGAATGCTTGTTTACACAACTGACAATGGTCCGTGTCTTTATCATCGGCCCACTTCATGTCCTGAACATGTAAATTTAAAAAAAATATTTTGAATTGAATAATGTGGTTTTTAATTTTGGTAAAATTGAGATCGTAAAAAATTAGCCTTATATTATAATTTCAAAAACATCACTTCAAAATAATTTCAGGTTATTGACAAGCATGCTTAGTTAAAACCATAATTCAATTTGATTACATACCTTCATATTTTGATGAGCTTCTTTCATCTCGACGACTTTCAAATGAGAACTAAAAATTATTGCATTTATAAATGGAAATAACGAAATAAATGGCCAGAAAGCACGGACACGATTATTCTAAACTTGCTTACTAATTTGCACATCATCGATGCATAAGTTGCATAACCCTTTGAAACATGGCTTCTGCATGAGTAAACATGAGTAAATTATATTATGCGATGCTGTAAATCGCAAAATCAGAGAATATATACGATAGGTCGAAAATACAATTTGCGTAAATGGATGATTCCGGAGCTATAGACGAAATTTTGATCTAGACAAGAATAGCTGGAAAGAGCATCTTAAAATGAGTAAAATTGCAAAGTTTGGTTGCGAATTGTTGTAAAATGAGGAAAATATAGACCTATGAAGTTCGCAAGTTCTGCATGTATATATTTGCATTACGCGCGGGAAAAATAACCATTTTTGAGCCGAAAGATGGAATTGGTTATTTTCACCGCGCGTAATACAAATATATACATAATTTGCGAACTTCACAGGGTTATATATATTTTCTTCATTTTACAACATTTAGCAACCAATCTTTGCAGTTTTACTCATTCTAAGACGCGCTTTCTAGCTGTGGTGTTGGATTTCATTCTTCTTGCCTTGATCAAAATTTAGTCTACAGCTGGAATCACCCATTGTTGGTTGTAATGTTTGCCTGCTGTAAGTTACTGTCTATTCTGCATTTTCGTTTGTTCCTACTGGCAATAGTGCGGTATTCATATATAGAGTTAAATAGACAAATGTCGTAAAAACTAACCTCTGTAAAAATATTGAAAATGCAGAATAGGCAGTAACTGTAATCAGGTCAACATTACATTAAATACTTCGACAGATTTTGTTTTACAACCAACGATTGAGGCAAGTTGCAAACGACCTACTTTACTCTCAGATTTTGCGATTAACAACATCACATTATGTAATTCACTATTTACATGCAGTTGAAGCCATATTTCAACGTAATGTGCAAATTACGAAGGAAGGAGAATATTTTTTTTCCTTTCATTTCTGGCCATGCATGACACATTAACGCTATATTTAATTTGTCCTCAATTAACGTCATAGAATAGCCATATCGTACCTGCTTAGCGTGTTTCCCATTTCTATCAAGGCCTAAAAGTGAGACAATACAACAACAATAAGACAAGCATCAACATTAATAAAACAAATATTTTAGTGGGTTAGTTATTCACAAGCTTAATAGTGTGATAACCGTATTACTCATATTGATAAATACATAAATATACGAAGCAATAAATAAACAAATGAACAAAAGAAAATAAGAAATAGCTACGGTATAGGCTGACCGTTTCTTGTTCCAGGAATGATTTCTTCAATTCCTCGTGAGCTTCTTGCAAAGACGCGTACTTCTAAATACAAAGACGGTTTAGAAATTTAGTAACTTTAGCTATTTCCTGCTCGTATCGTGTGGGGGCGTGTCTTTCACCTGAGAGAGAGGGTTTCAATTCCAGCATTTAGGATGTTAGGGTTTGTAATCCAAGTGAGAATATATACATTTTAAGACCTAACCAGGAACGACTGCGAAAAATGCAGCACAAGTTCATGTATATATAGGTAATCGGGTGTGCGGGTATGTTCCAGCAGTATGTCGTTGTGCGATTATAATTTTGCTCAGTCGAATGTGAGCAGAGTACTTTCAATTAGACTAGTTCTATACCTAAGAACAGTTTAGACTGATAGAGCTATTCAGTATAAATAAAGCCTGGTTCACATATATGCCTGCGACGTGCCTGCGACGTACCGGCGACGATGCCGGTGGTAGCTTAAAACGTGAATTATGTGAATATTTGTTCACCGATTGCCTCCAGTGCCACAGTTACATCGGCGGTAGGCCGGGAAGGTTGACCTGAGTTCAACTTTGCCGGTATTTCGGCGGCAAGTAGAGGCATAATGATACAGTCGCAGGCATACCGCAGGCATATGTGAACCAGGCTTAAATTTAGTCTAGTTTAGGTTTCCTCCTGTAAATGTAGTATATAACACTGGATCGATAAGGGAAGAGTCTGAATAAGAGAGTGCAGGCTGTGCAGTACTTTTACTGGACGTCTAGGAAGAACAACTTAAAACAGATAGAGCTATCCGGTATAAATAGTGTTATACTCGCTGTCTCAATACCTGTTTCAATTCCTCCAAATCGCGAGCTCGTCCTTCCATTTGCGAGAGGTTTTCATTCACTCGCATGAGTTCTTCCTGAAGTCCAGACCTCCAATCCCGTTCAATTTTCAAATCAACTTCCAAAGCATTTCTAAAAATGAATAAGTCAAATAAATTACATTTTGTAAATTTCCACACAACACCCTGTCAGCAATCTCGTGAAATAAATTGCCCGGAAAAATGTCCGACAAAAATAAATTTCGGACATTTTTTCGACTTCATTGACTCACGGATGTTGCGAAGCAACATCTGTGAGTCTTTGTGGTTTACTTGAGTGGGGCAGTTAAACAATGGGAAATGACCAGCCTGCTTTGCGCGCAGTGTTTGCCTGCGAACGGGTCTTTTGGAACCGGAAATTGGGCTGGAGCACGCTTCACGTTCTTTTCAACTTTTGACTTTTTGACAAGCGTGTGCTAAATTAAAAGGTGAGGGTTAGTTGACTTAATTGTTATCTGTTTTTCTACTTCACCCAACAGATCTGCTGTTAACACACTGATCTACCTTTTAGCTGAAATATTAACACTATTTTGTTCAATATATATACAAGTGTTCACATTTTCTGGTGCCTTTCGAGCGCCTCTGTCAGCTGTGTTTCAACACCGTTTCAACACTGTTTCCATAGTTTCTGTCGTCAACACCGTTTCAACACTGTTTCCATAGTTTCTGTCGATTGAAAGAGTTTTTTGTTTACCAAATTTAATCATGTTATTTAAATTAAATAATTCATGTTTTAGCTGTCACGGAATACAAAGGACATATTTGTCTTATTCGAAGCAACACGACACAAAATCTTTGTATTAAAGTCACGTTGCTGACTTGCCGTTGTATATTTCACATGACTGCGCTTGCACTGTAGCCTAGTATCAGCTGGCACGGACGAGTCTCAGCAGTGTATCGATAGATCGCTTCATTTTTATCCTCTATCAGGAGAATTTCAGCTGTCCTTATGCTCTTTGATGAATGTCCCACTTATATTTAGACGCAATGAAACAACATCAAAACCACTAGTTAATCCAACGAAACTCTGTCGGATTTAATACAGGGGATGGCAATTGTTTATTTAGAGCACTGTCATATATTTTAACCGGTAGACAAACATACCACATGATTTTAAGACAAAAAATAGTGGATCACATGAACAGTATAGAACATGTCCTTAGACCATATATGAATAGTTCAGTAGATCATTATTGAGCCATAAGCAACATGAGGAACAGTGGTGTGTGGGGGACTGATATTGAAATTTTTGCAGCCATTCCCTTTTCAATGTAGATATTTATGTTTATTCACAGTTTGGTAACAATTATAAATGGTCTAAAAAGAAAAAGAGCATTGGACACTGAGGCAGCATTACCACCTGGATTTACTTACACTTTACTGCCATTGGACAGCTACCTGTACCGTTGTATCAATAAGGGTGCTGTTTTATAGTTGTTCTGTTTAAATTTTTCTGTTCAACACTGTACATCGTACATCGTACAGCTACGGTCGTTGATGCAGCATGTACTGTATTGGTTACAGCTTTATACTTATAGCTATCATGTTTAGATTGCCCTGTTCAACACTGTAGATCGGACAGCTACGGTCATTTGATATATTACATTGGGGACAGCTTTATACTTATTATAGTTATCATGTTTAAATTGTCAGTCTGTTTAACACTGTACATATCGGAAAGCCACGGTCATTGGATGTACTGATACTGACTGTATTAGGTACAGCTTGATACTTATAGTTATTCTGTTGAACACTATACACACCTGACAGCTACGGTTATTGTACTTTTATATAGATTTGCTTTGATAGTGTGTAGTTTTATAATAATCTATTCAGATTGTTTTTTCAAGACTGTTGATATTGGTTAGGGACCGGTCATTATTTATGGAAGGGGGAGGGGAATTTTTTCTTTTCTAAATTTTTAAAATTGAAAGCCCCCCCCCTAAATGGCAGAAATTTAATGATGGCCCCCCCTGCATATTAGAATATTTTTCTTTGACCCCCCCCCATTTTCATTTTTACTCGTCAAATGGGGATACCCAGGCGTTATAGTATTAATTATTAAGTAAGAATATGGAACTGGCAAGATATTAACGTCGACCAAAAATATATATTTATTAGCAGAAAATTGTAATTAAAAGAGGAGTATTTTTATATATAACACTAAAATCAGGTTTCCATTTGGTCTGGGCGATTGTAACCATGTTTAAGGCTGCAACTAGACTTGATGGTACGAAGTATTGCCATAGCAGCTGCGCGGCAACAATGAGAGCAACAATCAGTAAAATTAGCAGCAAAAGGAGATAGCAATGACAATTCTGCCAAGGCATACCTGCGACAGTGTATAGTGGTCTATACATCCTATTTTGTGTGAGATTAAAAATTATATAAAAATGACATATACTAGCTACCAGATAAAATCTTTTAGAATGAACATGGGTGGGTGGGTCGGGAAAAGGTATCGAAGCGCAAAACTTGCTGCAGTTAGGCAAAGCATACAATGGTAGAATGAATACCCAGACTGAAGCACTGATCACAAGGCATGAAACAACCCCCTTTGATCGATATGACGTCACAGATTCCCAGCAGCGGATGTGGCCTGCATAATACAAACGCCGTTAACCTTGCTTAATTTAAATGTATTTAACCACATCAAGAGCTGATGTAATAATACATTGTCAATTTAACTAGTCTGCAATCCGTAAAGACTGATTTGCATACAGCACACACAAGACAAGATGAATCCAGACTATTTCACATCAGTGACCATGATTTAGTTGCAACATTTACAACCAAATGGATACCAGGTTATTAAGCAAATTCCTTTAAGTTTAATTGCAACACCCCCTGTCATTTTCTTGAAAAAATTTAATAGCCCCCCTTCTAGTCATTTCTACATATGCCCCCCTTATTTTTTTCCTCCCCTCCCCCCTTCCATAATTAATGACCGGTCCCTTATTGTTAAAATCGAGGATGTCGTTAAAATTAAACTGTTTAAACCTGTAAGATCTTCGGGAAGATTTTATATTATGTCGTGTTTTACCAAATAATGTCCTTGCCCTTGCACGGTTCCCATTTGTAAAAAACTGCTGTAAATCATATCCCCCTTTAATTAATTTGATCTCATCCGTGAGTCGGCCTCGAAGGCCTTTGATTTTTTAACTACCGCCGTCGACAAGATGTGTTCACATTGCTTGTTGACAAGTCTGAAACAAGTTGTTATCATCTTGTAACAAGGTTGATGAGACCAACAAGTCTGATCAGTAGTATCGCGTCTGCACGTAACAAGTTGTTAAAAAGCATGATATTTGCTGTGTTGGTGTAATGTACTCAGGTGAATAAGATGCTTGTGTGATGTTATTCTGAGTGTATATCCACACCGGGCAGGCTAGCATGCGGCTGGTATTCCAAAGGTCGTAGGTTCGATTCCCACCGTGGCCAGGCATATTTTTCAAGCCTGCCCGGTGTGGATATACACTCAGAGTAACATCACACAAGCAAGTTGTTAACAAGTTGAGACAACAAGCTCGTAGCAACTTGTTACGAAAAGCCTGTATTAGTCTTTGTAACATGGCAGTGTTATACCATGTTATTTAATATATTCAATACTATATTCAATACTATATATTCAGTATACTGTTATAATTATAAGAGGAAGACCTTAGGCAACCTTCCTCGCATGAATAAGCAAATATTTAGAGAGATTAAAGAACCACGGGAAACGCCTAGTACCACAAACCTCGCAAACAGGACATAGTTTTGTGGTTGATAAACACTGCTAGAACTTGCTTTGACAAACATATTGCGTAGAGGAAATTAGTCATAGTTACAGATTTCTTCCTCTAAAATTTATTATAAAAGCTGAGCACAACCTGAGAGCGGAGAGTGAAGTGAGAAGAGCCATTTAGGCTAAAATACTTCATAAGTCAACAAAGGCTGAAGTATATAATTAAAAGGCTAGATAATTAAGCCTCGTCAAGTAAACTGAAGAACATTGGAATATTGTGGAATAATTATTATTAAAGAAGACGGAATACAAAGTATAAAGAATAAAGATTCAAAGTTGTGCTCAGCTCAAACAAATAGAGAGATAAGTTGATATATTAAGATTACTATATTATTATAACATTATAGAGACGCTAATTCATATTGTTGAAAGTAAATAAAATATATAAAAGGTATAAGGTTTCATGCTATTTGTGTTACGGTAGCGTTAATATAATTTGAACCCGAAGCCTAAAGGTTGAAAATATACCTAACTGGAAAATATATTTGACGCATAAATAACGCACCATAACAGTCTTGTTGGAACAACTTGTAGCAAGTCTGTTACCGTCATCAACCTTGTAACAAGATGATAACAACTTGTTTCCAGACTTGTCACAACAACTGGGAACAAGCAGTGCGAACACATCCTGATATCGGCTTGACAACAACCTTGCTACAACTTATTTGCAGATCTGAAACAAACTTGTGCGTTTTCACCAATGCAAATCTGGTTTACCTTTTGCTTTCGCACGTGACAAGTTGCTGACTAATCTGTTGCATAGTCTCTTCAACAGCGCCCTTCTCCTTGGATACTTCATGTAACCTATAGTACAATAGTACAACAATGGCTTTTTATTTACTAAGTCGGCCGGCCGGCCAGGCTGGCAAAAAGTGCCTCTAAATAGAGTTTGCATGATGGCAACTTTATGTTAGAAGCTGGCAACAGGCATTTTCTTATACCGTAAACCTCCGACTATAAGCCCTGGGCTTATATAATTTCGTAAGCGATTTTTGATGGGCTTATACAAGGGGAGGGACTTATATACGGGTGGGCTTATACATGAACGATCTTTTGTGTTAGTAATAAACAAGTCAGACATAAACAAGTGAGTCATAAACAGGGAAATAAACGTGTATTAAGCAGCGATTACTGGGCTTATATTAATTGGGAGACTTATATTCGGGGGGCATATATTCGGGTGGGTTATATTCTGGGGGGGGGGCTTATATTTGGAATGAGGTGAGCGTTAGTACATGTGGTGGGTTTATACACGGGGGCTTATATTCGGGGGCGGGGCTTATAGTCGGAGATTTACGGTAGTTTAAGCCTTGGTGACCATTTTCGGTCCAAATGTGGTAGCAATTTCCGCACGTAATATGCAAAAGTATACAAAATGTGTGGCTATGCGACTATATGCGTTGCTATGTGCTGCTATGTTTGAGGATGCGTTGATATGTGTGACTAAGTGTTTCTATATGTGAAGATGCAAGGGTGGGTTGTAGCGAAGTAGTTGTAGTTCGCTACTGTAGCGAACTATAATTTTCAAGTAGCCAGTAGTTTTTGACTACTTTTTTAAAACAGTGCTGTAGTTATAGCGAACTACATTTTGCCTAAAAGTAGCCAAGTAGTTGACTACTTTTCAAACAGCGAATCGCTATTCGCTACTTTTAAAAATTGTTAGCAACTTGATAGAATAGCATGATATTGAGACACGGTTTGCTTAAAATCAATACTCAATAGTCAATTTGCACTCCTGAACACTGTAGTGCTTACAAAAATGTTGCTTTGTGTTTACCGTTGCTACTCGTAAGTCGATTTGTTATAGATGGCCATAGATTACATTACAGCCTGAGTTAGTAGATGCTCCAAATATAGTAAAACTAAAAATATAGCGTAGCGAAATAGCGAAATAGTTCGCTACATTTTTTAAGCAGTAGCTGTAGTCAGCAGCGAACTACCTTTGTTCAAAAGTAGCAGTACTTGTAGCTGACTACATATCTTTGAAGTAGCTGTAGTTATAGCGAACTACAAAAATGTTGTATAGTCAACCCACCCTTGTGAAGATGTACAGGGTGTATAAAAAAAAAGGTAATCGAACTTCAGCGCGCTATTGTATCTGAATTACTCTAAGTATGAACGAGATTTTTTCACATTCGGAAAGATCATGCTAATAGTTGTTAAATGACATCTTCTTCATGCCAAATGGATAAAAAATGAGCAAATACGAATCCGATAAAAAATCTTAGTCAGAATCGCATATTTTCACCGTTGAGAGTTAGGTCTAAAACCATTGAAAATGAATTCCCTTTAGGACTTAAGTTAATGAATTTCACTTAAACTGCACACTAAGCTACGACACGTTCGCGATTAATTGCTTTTTTCTTTTGTTATGCATTGTTTTAATTAGGCACAGAGGTGAAAATATGCGATTTTGACTAACATTTTTAATCGGCCTCGTACATGCTTATTTTTTCTCCACTTGGTACAAAAAGCATGTCATTCAATAGCTAAAAGCCTGATCTTTCCGAATATGAAAACCAATTGTTCATACGCAGAGTAATTCACGTATAATAGCGCGCTGAAGTTCGATTACCTTTATACACCCTGTATTGCAATGTGTGAGGATGTGTTGTCATGTACTGCTATGTGTGAAGATGTGTTGCTATGTGCAAGGTGCAAGTTTTGCAAGGCTATATATTTTCAGCATTTTACAACATTTCGTAACCAAACTTTACTCATTTTAGTATATATGCTCTTTCTAGCTGTGGTGATTTATTTGCATTTCTTTGGTGAATGAAATTACCTATTTTCCATATCTTTTGAATCGTTAATCATACGCGAACATTTTTCTTCCAGCTCGCCCCATTTATCGACATGTTGAGCATTGGCTGTTTGACTTTCCTGAAAACAAAGTAAGAAGAAATTTTTTCAATGTCGCGTGAAAAGTGTTCAAAACCTGAAATCTTTTTGGCGTTCCTCTCAAAATTAGGCCACGGTCGAACGTGGAACTTTTCATGTGGCGAACCTAATGCAAATGAAATGAAACAAAGAACTTACTGTAGCCATTAACAATAGGTTCGGCACATGAAAAGTTCGACGTTTGACCCTGGCCTTACTTTGTTTTAGCTTTCATGGTGTAAAATTGACGCCTTATTTATACAGCAATATAAGCAAAGTTACTGAACTTCGGACATCATTTTCTCTTTGGCGTACCATCTAAAATCTCTTCATTTTAGCATTATTTTACAGATAAAGCACTAAACATACTTTTTAAGTTTGTTTGCAGCTTGGGAAACGTATCAAAAATTCAAAACATTGAATATAGTCATTGGAAAAGTATATTAATTCGTTTTGAGCACGCATACATACAAAATATTCTCTTCTTAGGGACTGGTCATAATTCATCAGGGGAGTGGGGAGGTGTAATTCAAAATTTTAAGGAATGATATTTTGTGACCCTGCTTTGCCATAACCCGGAAAAATAATGCCCCCCCCCCCCCCCC